GCATATTTGCTCAGATCACCCTTCCCACCACTCGCAGCCACCACAGCCAACAGCACACCAGAGTCGTCTCAGTGGTCTTGCTCATAACAGCAACCTCAGAGGTGGAGTCCAGGGGGAAGTCTGCAGGGCTGGAAAAGGAAGCGAACGGTACCACCCAGGTGTGAATTACCCTGATGACGCTCCAGCCTCCTCCCCTCTTCCTCTGAAACATCTCACCTGAGTGGCACAATTTGGAGCAAGATGACCACGGAGGTGAACTTTTCTTCCATGCTTCTCCGGCAAATAACGGGATGCCAAGGTCGGAGGGTTCTGGGCATCACCACAGGATTGTGTCCTTATATACTTCACCTGGACGGATGGGTGGAACGGTCCAAAATTAGCCCAATGAAGACCGAGCATGGTTGAGGGATGAGAGTGTGCAAGGACTCTGCTGCGGTAGGAAGAGGATGGACTATTGCGGGGGGGGGGGGGGGGGGTCTCATGCGTCCTGGAGAAAGGCATGGCTGGTTAGTGGAAACTTCATCTTGGCTTTATCTTTTATTTATTTATTTATTTATTTATTTATTTTTGGATTTATAGCCTGCCTTTTTCCTACAAAGGGCTCAAGGCAGCTTACATCCTTCTCCTCCTCCATCTTATCCCCGCAACAACAACCCTGTGAGGTAGGTTGGGCTGAGAGTCCGTGACTGGCCCAAAGTCACCCAGTTGGCTCCATGGCTGAGCGGGGACTCGAACCCGGATCCTCTGAGTCCCAGTCCCACGCTCTTCACCACTGCACCACACTGGCTCTCCTCTTTCTGGATCTCTTGTACAGACATTCCACCTTTGTTCCCCTCAATGAACTCAAGGAGGGGCAACGAGGAGGGGACCCTCCTTTCCATCTTATCCTCACAGCCAACCCTGTGAGGTGGGCTGGACAAGGCGTTTTGTGACCAAGCGGGGACTTGAACCCATATCCCAGTTCAGCACCTTCACCACTACAATACCATGCCATTACAAACTGCACGAAACACACGGTGAGACAAACAGGAAGTACGCAGGGAGAGAGAGAGCTGGTTGGCATGAGACAGGGGTCACAGCAAGTTGTGCAAACTGTTGTGGGGTTTTTTTTAGTGTTGCACAACCCTTTGCTGGACCAACCTGTCCAAGGTCCCCCCCCCACCCCCACCACCACCACCAAAGCTGTTTTTGCTCTTTGGAATTTTCTGCTGAATTTTGGCATGGGACCAATTAGCTCTCTGATAGATATACTGGGCTTTTTTCCAAACGTTGATAAGCTCCCAAGACGCAGAAGTGGGGAGAGCAAGCCCGGGGTAGAAAATGCCTTTTCTTCCATTAATCACACAATTAGCTGGATTCTGAATGATGTGGTGACACTGGCAAAATCAAGGATAACCATAAAAGAAGCCGGGGGGGGGGGGTGGATTGTGCCAAACACACAAGCTGGGTTCGGCGAATAAAACTTCCAGACTTCAGGATTCGAGATTTTAGCATCCTTCTCCGCTTTTAGCTAGGGGCACTCAAAAAGCACCTTTGCCCTTCCCAGCCTGCAAAAGACGTATGCGGGATGCATTCTTTGATACACTGAGCTCATGCGAATAACTTCAGAAGAAAATCTTCTATACACGGATAACTTGTATTTCCAGCAGGGGAAACCAGTCAGTCTTTCTCCTTGGTCTCTCTACTTCATTTCTTGTTTGCTGTTAACAAATTCTGACTGCTCCATGTTGTCTGGCTGACTGGCCATTTGCTTGCTTTTTTTTTAATCAGCAAAACACACAGAGGATGGCCCAGAATTTTGATCTCAGGTGCCTGATGGCTGGGCTGCTTGAGTCAGAGTAGACCTCTGGAGCAGGAGGTGATGACTGCCCCATCCACTCCACTCCTGATCCAAGCTGGAGGACGAACAAAGGAACGGAACATTGTCACGCCATGTTAAATTTGAAATTTAACATGAAATTTGGATTTCTTCTAAATGGAGCAGGGCTGGGTTCCAAAACAAGAAGAAGCCACCCTGATCTCCAAACTCGGAGATGAAGCGAATTTTGGAAGCGCTCCTGCACCAAAGACAGAAGGAAACATGAATTTCAAGTGAAAACCACAGAGAATCTTTCTAACTCTTGGAGACTAACCAATTGTTCGAAGCACGAAGTTCTACGGATGGAAGAAGGGTTATCCTTTGCTGGAATTACCACTTAGAAAAGAACCATTTGTCCTGCAAGGGGCATGTTCCTTCAGGAGGAACCTGATGAAAACATTTATCAAAGTGGGGCATGTTCCATTCTAGCTTAAAGATAAGCAAAATACACAGAACTGGAAAACTTGTATGCAGTGTTGGATCACTTTTAGTAGATACGGCACTTTAGTGACCATTGCGTGTGTTGTCATTAGAGAAAGCACAATCATTTTAGCATGGCGGAATAAATAGGCCCCCACAGTGGGAAACAAACCCTTGTCTCCATTCGTGCCAGCGTAAATTGAATCAAACTTTGTTATTACTTCTCATGTAGCTATTTCACATTTTCCAGTTCTTCGCCCAGCTAGTGGTGATTTTGGATTACAAGAAGGTTCAAATGAATCAAAGATACGCTTGAGAATTCTCAGAGTGGGGGGCGATTCATCTTCAACTTTCGAGCAACCTAATTTGGTCTGCTGGAAAACCGAGAATGCCTTGACTTCCGTTTGCTGTTCTGTTCTCCAGCACTTCATCAACTTTTGTGGCATGTCTGTGTGAGAGAGAGAGAAGTTACCAAATGTGACAGCTCTAATTTGTCTCTGTCGTTCTTCCTTGTGTCATGGTTTCATAAATAACCATGGCGACAGGAAGGCCATTTATACTACTTGGCGGGCCTCTGCAGAGATAAATAGCTAATAATTTCTATTATGGGGACGATTACACTTCACATCTTTGTTTCCCGCTGGGAAGATTAATACCTCAGGGAGTGAGGGGGGCAAAGCGCCATCTGTGAAAAGATTTGTTTTCATTTGGAGTCTTTTTGGTACAAAGGCTTTGTCCCTAATTGACATTTTTGGTTCCTGTGTTTTCCTCTCTCATGCATGACACAGTGATGCTTTCAGAAGCACTCTGTCCCTGGAAGAGAGAATCACACCTGGTCCATCAAGCAGGAAATGTTCTCCAGTCAAATTTCCATGCCTCCTGCCCTGATCTCCTTAGAAAAGGACCTTTTTTCTCCTTAGAAAAGGACCTTTTTACTTTGACTTTCCCTAGCATGATGGTCTTCTCCAGGGAATGTTGCCTTCTCGGGATGCTCTGCTTTTGCTTTCATATGCTTTTGCTTTCATATTGAGCTTTGTAGGAGCTTTCCGTGGTACTTCCTGCTGCTGAAGCTCTTTTGCTGCGGCGCTCAGCACCATGGAGAGCTCCTATACATCAAGGTTGGCTTCCTGCTAATGAAGGATGTGATCCCAGGAGGTTTAGCCAGGAAAGAGGCAAACACTGAGCCAATGTCCAGGTCCGGGACTGGGAGGCTGGTGGCAAAGGGAGGCAGCCACATGCAAGAGAACTTCAGGCAAGGCAGGGTCTAAACGCAGGGCTTCGTGGAAGGGCCAGGTCATTGCCATGGCGCAGGCCGGGGTCAGAAAGCAGAAGAATGCAAGAGGGGAGAGCAAGGATGTGGTCGGGAACAAGAGCAGGGGAGAGAACCAGAACAAGCAGAGGTGGAGGTGCCTTTGACAGGGTAACAGGGCGGGAGGCATGGCATAGCAAGAAATCTGAGAAAACAGGAACATGATACAGCAAGAGGCAGGCAAGAGGCAGGGGCTGGGCTGCTGTCCCCATATAGATTGCACCCTTCATACAGAACTATTATATAAAAGCCCTGCCTCACTACTGTATTTACCAGACTTATAAAATATTGTCATTACGTCGCATTGCATATCACTGGACTAATTCTGCTTTGTATGATTGCACAATATTGCAATGTAATATTGCATAATAGTATTAAAAGGTTGCATATCACTCAGCTTATCCAGCAAATCAGGGTCTCTTTGCATTTTCATAAGAAGCAATGACATGAAATAAGAAATAATAAGAAAATAGATCTACGGTGCACCGAGCCTGTCCTAAAAAGATAAGAGAGGCGTGCCCCGGACGTGTAACCAAACAGGGAGCACAGAGTTCTCTATCATTTTCTAAATCTATGACTAAGCAGCAGCTGCTATTTCTGAATGGGGAGGAAGAGGATGACGTGATGGTGGGAGGGGAGGGGAAGGAGCGGAGCCTGCGCCCCGGAGCTTTTGCCGACCGCGCGCGTAAAGGAGGCAACAAAGCCAAGGATATGTCCGGGCTTGATTCCGAATCGCAAGAGGCGGCAGTCGCGTCCGGTGTCTCGGATCTGAACGACTCCGAATTCTTGCAGCTCTTGCAGCTCGAGAAGCCGGAGGATGGGTAAGCGAGCACTCGCTGCGCCCTGCGCCACGGGCGCAACGCAACGTGCTGTCCTGGGAAGCTGCGCAACATGCGGGGACCGGGGGGCTTCTCTGCTGTCTACGCGCGCATCAGATCGCGTCCCGGCCGTTTTGCTCCGTGGATCTTGCCCAACGCAAGGACCAGCTCCTTTGCTTTGCTACACTAGGACTGCAGTTTTCCACCTCCTGGCCGCACAACAACCCTGTGAGGAAGGCAAGCTGAGGGAGAGAAAGGGAGGACGGGCCCGGCTGCCTTTAGGAAGAGACTGAACTGTACATCTGCTGTGAACTTGCTGGGTGACCCACTTGTGCAGGCCCCTGGTCCCCGCACCTGCAGTATAGGAAACACATGGAAACTGCAACAGAGTGTTGCACCGTGAAATGCTTCTCTTCCAAATGCCAAGCAGCCTGCCATGCATCCTCCAGGGGACCCCACTCCACAGCCCAGTCCTACAGGAGCATTCCTCCACCAGGTAACCCTTGCCCTGCTCCACCCCCCTCCCTGGGCATATCATATCCCACCCCCTATTAGTATTCTGTGGCCTCTGAGCAAACACAGTTCTTGTTGTGTCTGGGAGTGGCTGAAATATTTATTGTCCTTCTGTCAATTTCAAACAGAGCTGGGCTTGCGTCCAACCAATCCTTTTCCCTGTCCAATGGAGTCCAGTGAAGCCCAAGCTTGCTCAGTGGTTACGGGGTGCTGACTAGTTTGGGGTGGACCTTGACCAGGGTGTCCCACTGGCTGAGTGCTGTAGGATTGGGGAGCCGGGGAGAGGGACTGGTCGCTGGATCCCGTGCTACAACTCTCTGATGTAGTGCCCCCTTGCAAATACTCTTAGGGAGCTCTGGTGTTGAGTTCTGCCTGCTCTCTCGCCAAAATAGTGTCACTGCATACTGGAGACAGAGAGTGCAGCAGGTGGACAAAATAGGAAAAATAATATTTCCAATATTGGGAAAAATATTTCCCAAAACTATTGGTGGGGAGGACCTAAGAGACCAAAAAAGAAAATGTCCCAATACCACCACCACACACACCAAAGGGGAATTGTCTGGCAGACTGAGCAGGACAGGCAGGACAACTGAGTAGAGCTTCCATGTCCTAGGGCAGTCTATCTCTGGCTATCAGATGCAAAGCCAGGGTAAGGGAAGGCTGCTTCTCTGTGGGGTCCTGCTTAGAGTTTTCCTTCACTGCAGGGCAAAACAGAAGCAGAAAGGACGGGGCAGGTGCAGACAGAAGATCCCTTCTTTATTCGGCTTGTTTGCCGTTCCTTTCAGAGATTCTAAAGCACTGGGCTCAGGGACACCAAAAAGAAAGAGAGCCCAGACGCCGCTTGAAGCTTTCCATCTCCACCACCTCAAAGTCACAGATCTCTCTGAGCAGGTTTGGTGTGAGCAGGAAATGGTGTATAAGAGAAAGCACCCAGATCTGTGGTCCCCGGAGAAGTTGGAGCTTCTGAACACCGGAAAGAGCATCCATCTTGCCAGAGGTTCCCAGAATATTCTTACCTTTTACATCAGAAGTGGGCAGTCTTGTTTTTCTGTTTTTTTATTTTGGTCCATGTGAAAAATCCGCTAATGGCAGTCTGCTGCGAAAGGCATGTGCGTAAAAGTCCAGAGTTTGGGAATTGGTTTTCAGGATGAGAGCTAACTAAGCCCGCCGGAAGAGATCATTCCTGCTTACTTGGTTCTTCCTTTGGGTGGAAGGAAAGGTCCTTCTTGTCATTAAATTATTCAGGAATCCTTGCTAATCTACTGAGAGAGATCAATCAGCAGAATTAACTCCTGGAAGAGAGCCGGAATCCTAAAGAATTCCAGAACAGGAGAACTCCATGCTGCAACCTTGTGTTGAAGGCCCCACTTGTACTACTTAAGAAGGTGATCCCCTTAAAAAAGCGGCATGGACTGGACTGCAGTCCCCATAATCCTTGGCTATGCTAGCTGTGGCTGATGGGACTTGAAGTCTGACATCTGGTGGCCCAGAGGTTGCCCAGCCCTGAAAAAAAAACCCTTTCAAACAGATGTTAAGAACTTTCAGGAGTAGTTTTCATTGTGTTTTCAAGCAAATCAAAAGTCTTTGCATGATTATCAGTTGCCTGTTAATGAAGAGAATAAATTTGCTTCTCTCCTTTTCTGTTTTTAACACAGAACTGGAAGTCCACGACCTGGTGCCAGTCCATACCACAAGCCGAGAAGACTTCTGGGCGATAAAAGTGCTCAATCTTCTCCTCATGATTCATGACCTGCAGGCAGGTAAGCCTCGCCTGAGGCTCTGAGCCCTTTCACACTGCTCTAGGACACAGCTGCTCAGCCTCAGGCCAGTGGGCCCAATCCAGCCCCTTTCCAATTGGGAATTCCAATCCAGCTTTCCTGGGATGCCCAGACAGCCTTTTCCCTGACCATTTGGCACCTTCCCCCCCACCCCCATTCCAAATGCTGGAAGGCTCTCCTAAAATATTTTGACCAGATTCCTTCTGCTTTTGGTTTCACTCACCTTCAGAATGCAGCTACCCAAAGCTTCTTGGAAATAGCACCTGGATCTTGGGCTAACAGGTGTTCGGTGTCCCTGCCATCTCCTGCATTTCATTTTTAAGGGTGCCATCCCATGCTCTTTGGATAGACAAAAGGACTATAATTCCCAGCAAGCTAGGCCTTTTAGATCTTTCTCCTGGCTAAACTTGCACAGAATGCCACCTTTCAATGAACTTTCTTTCCCGGCAGGTCAACCTGTGCGGGAATTTCCAGTATTTGGGGTGCTAGAAGGCATTTTTGTGTTGGGGGTCATTGATCAGCTGGGCTACACTGCAAAAGGAGAGCTGGAACTGAGTGAGCTGAAGACTCGGAGGAAAGCATCCATGCCCACCGCTGCACAGAAGAAGCGGGATGGCTTTCAGGTGGGCCAAAGAGTGGTCAGATACAGCAGGTGGCTTGCCAAGCCAGGGACAGCCATCAGCCAGCCTTTCAGGGTATCCAGCCATTCCACAGACCAGATAAACATTTTGCATCACTTAATAAACTGAAATTAACTGCAAATTAAACAAGCCAGGTGAGTCACCATGGCTTGTTTAATTTGTCTTGATTTCTTGTTTTGACCTAGCACTTTTCCTCCCCAATTTTAGGGAAGCTGTGTGTTTTCCAAATGGATGAACACCCCTGCAGAGTGATGATTCTCAAAGTTAGCGAAGAAGGATCGGCCTTTGCCAAAACTAAACTCCCTCCATAGTTTTGGGAAGATCTTTCTTCATATGTCCTCCTTTTTGTGACTTAAGCTGCAGTCCTACACGCTTGTTTGGGAGGGAAAAAGCAGCACCGGACACAATGCAACTTCTCCCCCTCTGCTGTTCATTTTGTGCATCCGAGCATTCAGTCTGATTACATAGCAGTGGGAACCATAACAAAACGTTGCAAGTTGCTTCTTTTAGTTTCTCACCCGCTCCATCAACACAAATGAAGGTAGCTGTTTTTCTCGGCTTGGCTGGCTTTCGCAATAGAACTGATGGCGATAGTCCAAATGGGAGATGACCCAAGCACGAGTAATTTCATCCAGGTATTTCTTTCCAGGTGTTTCACCTGGTGTAGCAACCAAGAGAGCTTCAGACCACCAAGTTCCGTTGAGCCTCTGATGACACGGTTAAGCAAGGTCTCACTTCTTTATTTCCAGGTCTTTTTGTATAAGTATCTATTTGATGCAATGGTGCAAGGATGTCTGACTACAGAAGCTTTCCTTCAGCACCTGCACCTGAGGCCCATGCAGGTGCTTGGCCCCCATGTCCAAGAGCAGGTGGGAAATGCGGGTCTCACTGTACACCATTTCCAGGACTTGCTGGAGCTGATGAGCCTCAGGCTGACGTTCTCGGAAATCCCTGCTGTTGAGCGCCTGCAGATCGAGTACGTCCATCAGGAGAGCAATGCTCCACTTGGCACAGAGCTATTAAGCTACAACAAGGACAGTGTGGCAGCCACGGTGCAGCATTTACTGGCTTACTGGAAAGGGCGGAGAGATGCTGAAGGGGTGGATATTGAGGACGCTTGGAAGTGCCACTACTGCACCTATGCTGGCATCTGTGATTGGCGAATGAACAAGATCGGAAGGTCACCAGGAAAGAATTGGCAAAAGAGGTCCAGATGAAACTGGAGGCCAACCAGGCCTTTGGGGTACTTTGGATAGACTTGTCATCATAATCATCAAAGATGTGAAGGGCTGCATCATCTCCTCACCATCACAGCAGAAAATTTCAGATCCTGACATCTTTCCCTTTGTGGTTCAAGGGAGGAAAGTGCCACAAGTTGTAATCTCCTGAGCACAAACCCAAGGCCTAATCCAAAGCTTTACTTAGGATTTTGTGTTGCAAGTCAGGACGTGCTTTGTATGCAGAATGACAGCATAATTTGCTGCATCCACTTCTCAAGGCTCTTGGTTTCATTTAGAGTTAACATATAATAACGAAGAAGCACAGAGGGGAAAGGTGGACTCTTCAAAGACAAGGGCAATAATGATTTGCTGGCTCAACACATTTTGAAATGTCTTCCTTGTGCCTCAAAGTCCCCAGAGAAGCCACAATGTCATGTGAAGGCTGCAGTCTTATACATCTCAGAAGGAAAATTCCGAACAGCATCGAGTCATTAAATCTCTGTGCATCTTTCAAGACTTTCCTTCCTTCCATGTAACCTGGCAATTGGTGCTTTCCTTTCTTCCTTCGAATGCCACCTGCTGAGTCAGCATGCCAAAATGAGGGGGATCCACTGGAATCTCTTCGTCATTCTGACATTTCTCCAGTTTTGTGTTTGAACTCCTTCTGAAGGAGAAACACAAACATTCCACAATTGGGTGCAGGCCAGAGCAATGCTGCCCTCCACCTCTTTGAAGGACAGAGCAGGACTTGCCATGAAGAAGTAAATCTAGCTTCCACCTGGGTGGAAGGTCCCATTCCTACCCCCACAAGTGTCTTATCAGCTATTTCTTATTCGCTGACCCATATGCCTATCTTACTGCCAACAGGGATACAGGGCAGAATTTTGCTCTGTCCATATAGCTTCACTGTTTATCAGTCTTCTGCGGGCACCTAAAGACTTTGCTAGATTTTCCATAGGAACCCTGAATCACTAAATGACACTAAGCAGGACCAAAACATCATTTGATTATTCAATTTGCGCTGAGGGGAGCTTTGTATGATAGCACCGGCCAAATGCAAGTGCCTACAAAATAGAAGCAACATTTGGGGATGGAATGTGCAACCAGGACTTCCTTTCTGCCCATTTCCTGGGAATGGTATCTATAATCTAGCAATGTTTAATGATAACACATGTGCTGGATATACTGTATTACAATTTATATAATGGATATATACTTTTTGCCTTTTTACTTTTCAGAGGGGCAAAGAACTTTTTCTAGACTGCCAAAGAATGCTTTTCTGACTTTTCAAAAATAAATAAATAAATAAAATGGACTTTATTTGCTACGGCCTCAAGTGCATTGGCCTTCTGGTTGGTCATTTTTTTGCTGCTATTGATGGGCTTTCAGAAGGTATTTGACAAACTGGAGTGGGAAGCCATACAAGACTGTCCATTACTATTAACCGTGGCAGGCCGGAATAACCTGATGCATTTGCAGCCCCCCAGACTTGCCCTCTTCCTATCTACCGCACTGTATTCTCCCCACCAGCTCATTTTTGTTTCCCGATCATCAGGAAACATTTTGGTCGCATAAAAATGGACACTCAGAACGCAGAATTCACTGTATGAATTCACATCACCCCTGCTCATCTGGGGGTGATGGGAGTTATATTCCCAAAGATCAGAAGGGCACTGTGTTTGGGAAGGCCACTTAGAGCTTCCTTTTCAGGGATTCTTTATCTGTAAAAATCAGGTGATGCTTTCATACGCATCTGTTTGGGCATTTTGAAATGGAATTACAATTATTTTTATTTCTATACTACAGAATCTTGATCTAACCCAGCAGGGGTGATTCTGAGGAGTTCCATTGACAGAGAAAGCAACCTCTGTAGAATTGCATAGATTTTTAGAACTGGAACACACACGGTCCACTAGTAAGTGCAAGATCTGGAGATGGCTTAAATACCTCCAGTGAAGTAGAGCACAATTTCTCAGGGCCATCTGTTCCACGATGAATGAGTCTTCCCTTTAGGAAAGTTCTCCCAGTGTTAAGCCAAAATCTGAAATGCACAATGACTTCACCCATGGATTCGAGCACCTCTGTGTGCATTTTTCAAAGCTATGCATACTGTTTTGTTTTTTGGTCTATGCATCATCCTGCAAGCCTGGAGGTATATGGACTTTGTCTTCTGCTTGGTCTAAGCTCATGTTGAACCCAGAAGGTGCAAATTGGGTTACTCCACATCTAAAATGTGAGAAAACAATTTCTGCATAAACCCCTACACTGCCTTCCTTCTCAGGTGGATTTTCTTCTGTGGAAAATAAATTCCATCCTTGAGCCCTCAGTGCATTGGAAAATACATTTTTTGCTTCTCTACCGTTGGAGAGAACGGTGCTCCTGTTGGCCACCGGGTGGCAGCAAGAGACATCTTCTGCAAGCTACTGAAACAAACTTGAGTGAGCAGTCCTGTGGCTGAATAGTTTGCAATATCATTTCCATTGCATCTTCTCTGCTGCTCCTAATTTCTGTCCCAGTCGGAGCTTCATTGGGATGAACATTCGATGAGGGGGTAAAACATTGGCCACCAGGACCTGACTGCTGAAAGAAGCTCCAGGGCCATAAGAAGTTTAACATCTTCTGCATCCGAAAGATACAAAGAGGTCCCCCTCTGAATAATAAAAAATCTTATCCAGGAGAGCCAGTGTGGTGTAGCTGTTAGCATATTGGACTGGAGCTTGGGAGATGCAGGTTTCAGGTCCCCACATGGGACAAAACTCCCTGGGATCTCCAGACAAGCCTAACCTACCTCACAGGGTTGTTGTAAGGATAAAACGAAAAGGGCTGTGTGCACAGCCCTTGGGTCCCTTGCTAGATTGGAAGTATTACAACTATATGAACAAAATGCATTCATTGCTAAGGCTACAACCTTACACCTACTTACCCAGAAATGAACTTCCTTCCATGTACCTCTGAATCAACAGGCAAATGCCATTGTTTTGGAAGGAAGGAGAATGGGAAGGAATTGCCCAAATGGAGACCAGTTTTCCATTCTTTCTGAGCTTCCTTTTATCTTGGAGTTGTCTTACAGGCAATTCCTTGAGAGTTCCCCAGCTCCCCTTTCTGTGCCCAACAAGTTTGCCCATGAAGATGTCAATCAGGAGGTTCTGGACCATCCAACGAGGAGTGAATGCGGAATCCTAAAGCCCTTGGCCTATTTCTCTGGCCTTCATGATGTGACTCTGCACAAAGAGAAAGCCAGAGACAGATGGACACAAAATATTTTTTTTAATTTGCAATTTTGCAAAGACACATTTAAGCAACAAAATATACATTTGGACTCTTCTTTAGAATTTGTTTTATACAAGAGCAAATACAAGAGGCTATCATAGCAATAAATTAAATATACATTATTTACACAGACATTAGCAACCAGCTACAAAGCATGGCCTCTTGACACAAAAAAAGAAAAATATTTCATTTTGTCAAAGACTTTTTTTTTTTTTAAAGAACCCTGCTTTACACACAAGCTTCCCCACTGCTGCCCCATATCATGAGCAAGATTAAGGGGAAAGTTTCCCTGCAGTGCCAAAATGAACACAGCTTTGTGCAGGAGACCTTTGGATACCCTTGAAATTCAGCATCTTCATTAAAAGGATATTGGTTTTGTCATGCTGCCTTTGAGAAAACAAGATGAAAAGCTTAAAAAGAGGTGCATGCGTTAGGTTTTTCTTTCCAAACAACAGAAAACAAACGATAATTCAAAAAGAATGAAGCCTATAAGTCAGGGAATTGGATATGAAAAAGCATAAAAGCCAAGTTTGAAAGAAGCTTGCTTGCCATCTAGGAAAGCATCCATTTTTCTCCCCTTCTCCAAAGATCCGAATGCAGAATCAGACAATTAGATGGACCGATCATTGTTTCTGAATGGAGAAACAATGGTATTCCATGAATGGAGAAATCATGGTATTCCATGATCCATCATCCACCTTTTGGCCAAGGGTTATGGCAGCAGGCTTGGTGAGCTTTTGGCGGTGATTAAGCCTACTGGGATTAAGGATTGCAGATGGACAATTTTGCTTTGTCCCCCATTTAATTTTTTGGAATCACAAATTCTCCCCCCACCCCGCCCCAAATGTGAAGCATTTTGGGAATCCTGGTAAATATTTCTCAAAAATGAGCTAAATCAAAATTCCTGCCCATCTGCATTGGCTGCATTTCGTGCAATAGCTGCCAGGTACTGTTAAAGATGAAAAGTCTTTTAGAAAAAGATATGTGGTGCGGAACCAAAGATATTTTGGTTCTGCACCAAAACTATGGCTGAATGGACAGGGATTCAAACCCAAATATTCAAGGACTGAGCTGGGAATGTTTTGAATGCCTCTATCAGTTTTGGTTTCTTTCACATTGCCTTGCTTTAACTCTCATGTTCTTTCTGGCCTGAATACAAAGACATTTTCAAATTGTGATAATTGGAATCTCACCCATCCCTTCTAGAACCTCCTTTGTAGTTATGTTAATGGACCCTCCATGTTCAGAAGCAGTGTACCTTCAAATGCCAGTTGCTGGGGGAACAAACAAGAAAGGCCAAGCGCTGCTGGCTCAGTGCCCTAATTGCGATTGTCCTGGTGGCAGCTGGCTGCCCACCACGGAAACAGGATGGACCCTGAACTACTCCAGAAAAACAGTGACTACTTAGAAATGCTTTGATCAGGTCTTAGGACACATGCCTATCAGCAGCTGTTCACCAGGACAGCTCATCATTCGAACCTCCATGTTCAGGCACAGTATATGTGTAAATACTTCATGCTGAAGCAAGACAAACTGATTGCTTTTATGTTTAAAGGTTTCCCCAGTGGGACATGAGTCAAGGTGGAGAAAAGTCTGTGATGATGGTCCACATGATGGTCAAGAGGAAGGGGGAAATCAGTTTTTTCACACCACTGCCCACAGAAACATAGGACGGCTTTAGAGTCTGACATTGTCCCTTGCAGTGGTGCGTTTTGCCACAGCCCCACCATGTATTATTTTGAACGCATCTAATCATTGCACACATTGTGATGGAACACTCAGAGAAGCAACACGTTTGGAAGTGCAGCCGCTTGTTGCAAAGGGTTGCCCCAAAAGGAGACTCCAAAACTGCGGAATCTAGTTCAAGAAATCGCTTCTAGCAGCTTTCCTCTCGGCCAGAAGGATTTTGGAAAGCTCCGGGGTCTCCAGTACCCATTCAAAGCCAAGCCAGGCCAAAATATTTTGTATTTCGACCAGGATAGCTCCTAGTAGGAGACTGTTGTCAGAAGGCCTCCTTCCTACCACATCCTGTGCGGATCACTGCTAAGCTCAGAAGAAACAGAATTCTGAGGGGTGCTAAGAAAAGGGTCCAGCACTTCCTTTGCCCAAAAAAGCAGCAAGATGCATTTGGGGAGGCGGAGTCAGTCAGAGAATGGCCTCCAAGGGGATCCTTGAAAATCGTTGTCTGATCTGAACTTGGGGAGTGGGAAGGAGTGAGCTACAAGGGACAGGATGGGTGCCAGAGGAGTGAGGGAACATCACAGCACTGAGTGGGGCTTAATATAAACAATCAAAAGCTTGCAGATGAAGTGGAAAGGAATACAGGATTTTTGAATTACATGCAGAAAGGAGGCGGGGCAAAGCATCTGGAAGGAAGCAGGCTGGCGATGGTTGAGGGTTTTTGCTCACCTTCCCTTCCAGATCCAAATACAGAGAATCAGACCAAGCCAGAAGGGGTCTCCTGGGCCATCTAGTCTGACCCGGGGCTCCAGCCAGCTCATGACATGCCTACCATGGAACAACCACCTCCCATGGGAGTCCTAACCCTCAGGAAGTACTTCCTGGCATCCACCTTGAATCTTGGTTCCCCAGGCTTTGCTGAAGACAGTCCATCTCCCTAACCATAAATGAACTCACACACTAAACCCTTGTTTTTCTTGGGTTTTAAAATCCTGACATGCCTAGGATTGGTGCGTTGAGTACCTTCCTCATAAGCACCACACGTGTAGAAGGTGGTGCCCATGCACCACCTCTCAGGTGAGAGCTCCTGAGCTGTGTGCTCCATCCTCATGTCACACTTTCATCTGAACCCCTCCAAAGTCAATCCAAAAAAGAAAGCCCTAAAGCCCAATGCCCAAATACCATTTCAATTGAGCATCGTCCCACAAATAGGACCTGACAATTCAGGGAGCGGTCTTGCTAGCCCACTGGCTCATCCAGCCCAGAACTGCGGACACAGGCTGGCTGACATGGTTGCCCAGGAGGGGCTCTTCCAAGCCCTGCTTGGAGATTCCCAAGGACCAAAGCAGACGCCTTCCACTCGCAACTCACCATAAGGCCAGTACATCTTCCCCCATCACCTGCAACTAACTGATTCCTTCCTGTTCAGGTGCAGTATGTCAACCTCCAGCTGGACCATTCCGCTCCTTCCTTCTCCACCACCCCAATCTAGGACTTCCTTTGGAGAAGGCCACATCTGTCCAGGCAAGTGCTGCTTCCAACCTATACTGGGTGGAGAAACTTTTTTCTGTCAAGAGCCACATTTACTTGGGGGTAACCCATCAGGCGCCTGGGGGGCAGAGGATAGGGGCAGAGAAAACTGAGTGGGGCAAGCTCCCCTTTCTCTCTCTCTCCCCCACCTCTTTCTCCAGGCCTAGCAGACTGCTGGAGGTCTCAAATGACAGCTTGAAGAGTGCTTTGGAGATTTAGGTAAGTTCTAGTCACTCGTGGTTTTTCTGCAAGAAAAAGGCCTCACCCAACAGTGAAGGGATATTTTCACCCATAAGGATGTTCTCTGGAGCATGTACTTTTGGTGTGTATGAAAAAGCATGGCGAGTGACTCATCCGTACATGCTGTTCGTCTCTGGTTGTGCTTTCGCCTCTGCACACCCACACAATGTGTCTGCTGGGAAACTGTGCAGGAACACTCAGACACCCTTCGTTGAGGAGGTCCTACCAAGTGAGATCCGCATCATGGAAAGGGAGAAGAAAGAAATACTGGCTGCCTGGCAAGCTATGAATCCAGCCATGTTCCAAATCAAGAGAGGACAGAAGAAGAAACCAGAGGGGAAGAAGCCAGGTTGCAGAACATAGAGATGGAAGGTCCACTGGTCAGAAGGGGCCTCCTGGGCCATCTAGTCTGACCCCCAGCTCCAGCTGGCTGCACTCATGACATGCCTACCATGTGCATGTCTAGCCTATCCTTGAACATTCTCACTTCCCGTGGAAGCCCATTCCATACCCTGGGGGTCCTGTCAGGAAGTACTTCCTGGCATCCAAATTGAACCTTGGTTCCCTGAGCTTTCCTCCATTGGAACACATCCTGCCCTCCACTGCAGGGAGAAAAAGGGTCAGGTCTCACCTCTGCGTGTCACCTCCTCACTTGTTTGTTGTTTGTTTATTTAAGATATTTGTATGCCGTCCTTTGCAAGAGCCTCAGGACGGCTTATACAAATAATATTCCGAGGTGCATAAACAATAAATTGACAACCCACTCTGGCTGTTGCTCAGAGGTCCCTTCCGAGTCTCCTCCTCTCCAGGCTGAAGAGACCCAGCTTCTCAGTCTCTCCTCATAGGCTTCCCCTGCAAACCAGCCACCCTCCTAGTGGCCCTTCACTGCACCAATCCCAACATTGGCCCCATGGTCTTCAAGCTTCCATGCAGCGGCATCTTCTGCTCTATCTGTCTCCTGACTGGGGACCCTTTTTGCCCCACTTCCAGGGACAGGTTCTTCATCCCTTACACTGGAACCACTGCACTCTTCTGTTATCCAGCCAATCTCTGTCCTTGCCATGTTTTACTGCCCCAGTACTCTGCACAGTGGTTTAAACCGCTGTGCTGCTGTGCTGGTTGATCAAAAGGTTGCTGGTTCGAATCTGCACAATGAGGTGAGTTTCCGTTGCTCTGTCCCAGCTCCTGCTGACCTTGCATTTCAAAAGCATGCAAATGCAAGTGGATAAAAAGGTACCACTTCGATGGGAAGGTAACAGCACCTCTGTGTTTAGTCATGCCAGCCACATGACCACGGAGACTGTCTGCGGACAAGTGCTGGCTCCCTCGGCCAGGAAACGGAGATGAGCAGGAAGGAACAGAGGAAACGGAGGAAATGGAGATGAGCAGGAAGGAACGGAGGAAACGGAGGAAACGGAGATGAGCAGGAAGGAACGGAGGAAACGGAGATGAGCAGGAAGGAACGGAGGAAACGGAGATGAGCACTGCCCCTGAGAGTCAGGCATGGCTGGACTTAATGTCAAGGGGAAACCTTTACCTTTTACTCTGCACCTTCCCCTTTGGGAATCAAATTTGAATAATGGAGCCTTCAGGATGACGTCAGATCACACTTATCATCATGTCAGCTTCAGGTTGGAGGCTACTTCCATGAGATGCTCTGAAGGCATCTCAATGGCTTTCGTGGGAGATTGAGAAAATCCATGCAAGAGGCGAGGCCCATCCTGATGAGGACTCTCCAGTGGACCTTCCATCTTCAAAGCTAGTGTGCCCTGGAGGCAGCAACTGTTTGCTTCTGGAAACACTGAACCTCTGCCTGAGGCTCCACGAATCCATCCCTCTAGCATTTGTGGACTTCCTGTGATGCGCAGGAAGTAAGACCAGCTGAGAGGAGCTCTGAAAATGCTCATGGCATGATGGTTGTGCAACCAGAACCTTCTTCTGCATCACGTCCAGCAAAATAAAGGTCGTTATACGTTGTGTGGAAGAGGAACTCTGCTTGCTCAACAGCCACAAGGAAGTGAACCAAAGTTCAGGAGCTGAGTTCAGGGAATTTAACTCCTAAAACACACATCCCTAATATCACTCAGCTTTCAAGGGCTGCATTCTAAGCTGAGTGGAGCCAAAAGCAAAAGGGGTACAACCAAAAATACCCTCCCGCTTTAACTTAAAGCTACAACTGCTGGTCAGTAGGAAACGCACTTCCAACTTTGGGGGGAAATAGTAAAACCCCAGAACCCACTAAAGGATGGAAAGTTAAGGAACGGAGGTGCAGCTATCTGGGAACCTTGTAGAGCCAGACTGGATTCCCGGGGAGCTCAGATGAGCCTATGGTCCTGAGGTTCAACATGCATTTGGCTGGGCATGAGTCCCAGAAGAGAAGGATTTTGGCAAAGCAGACACTGTCCTCAAATGAAAAATACCCACGTCAAGAACACTGTGATAGTCAAGTCTGAAGGCTACATTAGCAAAAAGGGGGGGGCACTTGAACCCAGATTTTTGAGACCCAGGTGGGTAAGAAACTAACCCACGATACAGCAAAGGGTGGTTATTCATAGTTACCAAAGTGACTTCTCAAAAGACAGACCGAAAGAGCAGGGCTCACGCATGAGCTTAAGTCGAACAGCTACAGTTAAGTACACGGGCACAGGTGTCTAGCGAGTGTTGAAATACCCAAGGAAAGAACGTGAGCAGCCGATTCAAGTAAACAGGGTGGAAAACTCATCTCCATAAGACATCCTTTGAACCCAGAGGGATGGAGCCAGAATACAAGAGTCCCACCACCTGTTGAGAGTATCTCTATCACCAGAGGTGTCTTCTCTAGCAGAAGAGATGGAGGAAGGTGACAGTTCTTTGTGGTTCGAAGGAAACAGCGGCTTCCGTGAGGGACAATTCGTATGCGGCCAGGGCGCTTGGTGCAGTAAATAGTTGCCCGCCTTCACCAAGAGAACTCTCCCTCTTACAAAAGAAAACAAACTGAAATGCCCTGCAAAAGACAACAATGTGGGGAAAACATTTAGGCCAGGATGTGAGCTTTGCCTAGCATGGCACCATATGTTAGAAAGTTATCCGGAAAATTTATATAGAATATAAAAATATATTCAATATATAAAATATAATTGAATATAATAAAATTCATTCATTCATTCATTCATTCATGTATTTCTAGGCCACCTATAACTACCAAGGCCTTCCTAGGTGGCTATATAGTTTTAAAATATATGTTAAAAATATAAAATAAAAATATAGGAAAAAATATAGAAAATCTGTATAGAAAACCAGTTTGGATGCTATGCTCCACTTTTTTTTATGGTAAGATTGTCCTGAGGCCTTGGTAGTAGACAGTATATAAAAGTTTTAAATAAATAAGTTCATCAGTTTTAGCTTTGGCAGCATAAATGGCTATTTCAAGAAGCAAAGAGTTTTCTCTAAAAGTGCAGAGTTCCTGGAGAGGGGTGGGCAGAATATGATTTTCCACTTTTAAAGCAGTGCTCACTGTTTTAGGGTTGAAGGAGGGGGTCCTATTAGTTCCACCTGAAAAGCAGACTTACCAAGAATTCTCCCTTGGCGTCCCCATCTTGACCCACTTCTCTGGTTCTACCTAGCAGGTTCTGTTCTGTTTCTCCCTCACTAGCACCGACTCAATTTGAGGCAAGTTGATCCTGCTTGTGGATTCTGTTAGTTTAATAGTGCCCATCCATGCAAATTGGATCTTTTTATGCAGCGGAGGAGATCTTGAAGTTTGTACAAATGGGGTGGTGCTTTTTCATTTTTTAAAAATGTGATCTTGTGCGAATGCACAGGATTGCAAGTGGTCCTATTCTATTCCCTGCTCGGCAAACAACCTGCCACTTCTGAGCGTGTGGAAAACTGGTAAGTTCTTTCTCAAGAAGAGACTTTGGCTTTGCTGGGCTAAATGAAGAGAAAGGATAAAATGGACAAGGATATGAAAAGCAGAAAATATGTTTCTGTGGAGCTACCTAGCAGCAGAACTTGTAATTATACACACTACCACAAGATCACAAAAATAAAAATATTTTTATTAACACAAATTCCAACCCCATTGTACAAATGTCAAGATCTTCCCTTCAGGAAAAGACCCAATTTTTGCAAAGGGAGGGGCTCAGAAAAAAAGTGTGCAAAACTTTTGCCACAATCATCAGCAGGGGATGACAGAGAGTCCTCTGCTCCTTCTGGGGTGGAACCACTGTGGAATCCTGCATCAGGCCTGAATGAAACAGAATTCCACAAACCATCCCTCCGTAACTTGTATCACCAAGACAAATGTTTGAAAGAGATCTTCAGAATTCACACCCCTAACAAATTCCGTGATGGATCACCTTGTTAAAGCTCCAACACATCCTAGTCAAGAGAAGGCAATTGTGTTGGGGAGAAGGTTTTTCTCTGGGCCAACACCCTTCCCTTGTCATTTTGTGTTGTTGTGCATGATTTGTAATATTTCTATCCTTAATTACTCTATTATCCATCATTACCATTTTTATGAAGACGCATCCCAGCAGCCACAGTTTATAACACATGCTTACCCTTTCCCAGGTCCACAGTCCCAGCTTCCCACTAGTGCATCTGTGAAGAAAGAAAACAGGTTGTCTCACTTCAACTGAGATTGGGCGCACCTGGCTCACTCTGCCAAGAATCTCCAAATGGGGATGGGCAACTTTTTGGCCCAAGAAGTGCATGCAACACTATGGCTGGTCATCTGCAGGTGTGGATGCATGTGTGAACATGCACATAAGCCAGCCTTCTCCCTTGCACCCCAGCTCTCATCACAGACACACCCAAGCACACTCTGCTCCCTACAGATGTGCACCTTTGCATATCTGTGCCATGATTACAGAGATGATACAGTTTAACCGCAGGCCGTGTACTTTCTGCACAGAAGGTCCCAGGTATGGTCCCTGCAACTCCAACCACAAGGATGGGACTGGCATGAAGTTATGTTTAGATCCCACCCTTCCCTGAAAGGAACCCAGGCTGAAGTCACCAGAGACATGGTGGGCCAGCCTTCCTTGGCCTGGTTGTCCTCCAGTCGCATTGGAGTGCAATTGCAAAATTCCCATCCACTACAGCAGTTGCAGTCCAGGAGGTGTGGAAGACACCAAGTTGGAGATGAGTGTAATAGACCTTTCTGGGCTGGAGGGATTATTGGCTTGACCTAGGATAAGGCAGTCTCATACTTACTGGACCAGAACTTGAATGGCTGAGCTTATCAAAGCGAAACTTTAGATTTGACCTTGGAGAATTCCTGCTCTTTAGATCTGTTGGAACAAGTCAACAAAACAACATTTGCTCCAGGTTACTTGATAAATAAAGGTAAAGGGTTCCCCTTGACATTAAGTCCAGTCATGCCTGACTCTAGGGGGCGGTGCTCATCTCCGTTTCCTAGCCAAGGGAGCCAGCGTTTGTCCACAGATGGTTTACAGTTTATTTTATTTATTTATTTATTAAAATATTTTTATGCCGCCCCATTCGCCAAAGCCTCAGGGCAGCTTACAACAATTAAAATAATTATAAACATTAAATTAAAAAAATATAAACATTAGATTAAAATACAAAATTACAATATAAAATAAGCCGCCCTGGCCAGATAAAATCCAATAATATTAACAGTTAAAATGCCACTTAAATAAAAAGGTCTTCGCCTGGTGCCGAAAAACAAATAACATGGTCATGTGGCCGGCATGACTAAACACCGAAGTGCACGGAACGCTGTTACCTGCCCACCAAAGTGGTACCTTTTTATCTACTTGCATTTGCATGCTTTCGAATTGCAAGGTTGGCAGGAGTTGGGACGGAGCAATGGGAACTCACCCTGTTGTGCAGATTCGAACTGGCGACCTTTCGATCTACCAGCCCAGCAGCACAGCAGTTTAAACCATTGCACCACTTGCAGTCCCACTTGATAAATAAACAGGTCTAAATCCACCAAGAGAAAGTAGTTCATGATTATTCTGAATTCTTTCCCAATTGCTGTTTCTGGCTTGTGTATATACCCCTGGGAAGTAAAACCATTCCATGGGAAGTAGAGCTGTAGGGGGATGCCTCTCGAAGTTCTCTACCCTATTTCTAGGCAGAAAAACAGTGGGACCCAAGTCACAGATTTCTTTTAGGAAGACAAGATGATCTCCACGTTTCTCAAGGGTTGAGGTCACCACCAGTCATGGTAGGAGGACAGCTTCAGTTTAAGTTCCCCCTTCTCCTGCCAGAAGCAGGAACTACTTGGTCAGAGCAACTGCCATCTGTCCTTTTCTCTAATGCCTAAACCTAGCATTGTCATGGAGCCTAGTGAGGAAACATGGGAGCTGCCCCCAAAACTGTTCACAGAACTTTCTGCAAAGCGACCTCCTTTTTCTTGCAGGTGGAGGGAGAAGAGAAGAAGAAAAATCTAAGAACCTTTCCCAAAAATGAATGTCTTCTGGGGGGAAAATGGCTCAACACCGTAAGAAGGAACTGATCTCTCATCCTCCAAAGTCAGAGATAAAAGCAAGGACAGAAGGAGCATGGAGGTTAGGGTTCCTCCACCCTAGAAAAGACACAGGTGGCTGATTTCACCTGTCTGTGTCTTTTGTTCCTGTGGGCAAACAGGAGTCCTCATACCTTGGTGGAACTTCACTCCTCCTTCCTTGAAACCCAGGACTCACACACCAAACTCATGGCAGCTGCAAAGTTGCCCCTGTAAATTTGGAGCAACAGCTGGCATGGAAGGAACCACACCAACTATGAGGATGGGGAGAAGGTGCTTCAAAGCTGGGGCTTGGACAGCCACCTAACAGCATCTAGTGGCTAGAGAAATGCACTCTTCTTTGATGTTAGGACCAGGCATGGGAAGATCTGGTTGATGAAGGATGTACACACTTCCAGATGGAAGCTTAAGAGGTCGAAATGAAGAGAAGGTGCATCTCCTTCAGCTTCTTAGAATCATCAGCCTCTAGCAACATCTCACAATAAGAAGAAAAGGGGGAACGCCCAGAGAAGGTCCTTGAAATATGTGGTCATGCCACAGTTGGAACTTCGGCCATCCCCTGCTAGGTAGCAGCCCTGTGCAAAGGACTACTGCAGAAGGTTTGGCTCCACTCACCTGTGGGACTCCTACTCATGATCACGGGCGTTGAAGCAGATGCTAAAACTGGATTCTCAATGCTTTGGGAAGGGCTGTAGATGAAGACGTCTTGCTTGAAAGGGGACACTGTGGAGGGTTGACTGCCCTGAAGGAGGGAAGAGAGATTAAGCTGCGTCGTGGCATGGTGAGGAAGCACCTAAGCCAGAAACTTCAACCCAAGTAGAAAGAGATGAAATTGTGAAAACCTGCCCAGAAAGCTCTGTAGGCTAAGCAAACTTTCCGCAGCTGAATCCCTCCACCAGATGTTTTGGCCTACAACTGGGAATGAGGATGAAATGGGTTGGATTTGCATTTTAATATACTTCACATTTCCCCGAATAATATGTGAGCCACAGCAGTTATTCTTAGTTTTTCACAGTCTTCCAAATGTGAGAGTGCAGTTCCATGATCAAAAAATGAGGAACTGCATCCACCAGGGATGCTGGCTTCCCAGAATGCACACACTGGAGAAAACTGCATACATAAGGGAAAGTTTTGCATACAGAGCTCTTGGGCTTTCAGGTACTTGGAAATTAAATAAACTAATGTGCACACTCATGTACTGAGGGAGCTGGGTCTCTTCAGCCTGGAGAAGAGGAGACTCAGAGGGGATATGTTGGCGACATACAGGTATGTGAGGGGATGTCACATGGAGTTGGGTAGAGACCTGTTCTCCACTGCAGGGGAAGGCAGGACGTGCTCCAATGGAGCCAAGCTCAGGGAGCCAAGGTTCCATTTGGATGCCAGGAAGCACTTCCTGACAGTCAGGACCCCGAGGGTGTGGAACGGGCTTCCACGAGAGGTCGTTGAGGCCCCATCGGTGAGTGTGTTCAAAGATAGGCTGGACATGCACATGGTGGGCATGTCGTGAGTGGAGCCGGCTGGTGCTGGAGGTCAGACTGGATGGCCCAAGAGGCCCCTTCTGACTCGCTCTGTTTCTATGTTTCTATGTATGCAAACACAGGACATTTGGAAACCTTCTGCATGCATATTAATTTTCAGATCGACTTCTCCAAAACACACATGGCAAACTGATACAGAGATCATAGAATCATAGAATAGTAGAGTTGGAAGGGGCCATGAAGGCCATCGAGTCCAACCCCCTGCTGCTGAAGGACACCACATGACACCACCCCACTCAGAGAGCTGTCCGGTTTCTTCTTGAATGTCTCCAGTGTGGGAGAGCCCACCACCTCTGCAGGCAGCCGGTTCCACTGCCGTATCGCTCTGATGGTATGGGACAACCTTGTGCTTGCTCTAAAGCTAAATGTCATAGAAAGCAAACCAAGCACATTCATCCCTGCCTACAGCTCCCATCATTCCAACACAATGTGGCCAGTGGTGAGGGTCTTCTGAAGAGAGCTTGGAGACTAGCAAAAGGTTCTCCAGTGAACGATATGACCGAGTGAAGAATGCAACCCAATCTCCACTCAGATTGGAATAAGAGGCTGCTGAACCACTGTGTGAAGGTATTCAGTGACGGAGACCCCATCAACCTTCTAAGCCACCATTCCCTTGTCAAACTGCAAATTTGTTCAGAAATGAAGGTATAACCCCAAGCAATACAATGTATAACAATACACTCCTATTGGGTATGGAATTATGGAATTATGGAACACAGAACATAGAACCATAGAAACAGAGTGAGTCAGAAGAGGCCTCCCAGGGCATCTAGTCTGACCCAAGGCCAGCTCCACATGCCTACTATATTCATGTCTAGCCTACCCTCAATAGGCTGATGGGGCCTCAGCCACCTCCCATGGAAGCCCATTCCACACCCTTGGGGTCCTAACGGTCAGGAAGTACTTCCTGCCATCCGAATTGAACCTTGGTTCCTTGAGTTTTGCTCCGTTGGAGTGCATCCTGCCCTCCTCTGCAGGGGAGAACAGGTCTCTACCCATGAAGTTCATCCTTTTTCAGAAAGCAAGCCAGGGTCCATCAGAGGCTAAGTGTTCAACTTGTCCTCCCTAGGTGGGTGGAGAAGAACCACGTGGAGGGGGCTGATTGGTAGGTCAGAGATGAGCATAAGAGAGGTCGAAGAGGTTGTTAGACAGTTGGAAGGGTAACATGGAACTGAAGAAGCAGTGGGGCAGAGGCGTTATGGAAAAAGTTAACATGCTTTGCTTAGGCTCCGAAAACCTGGTTGCTCCAAAGACCCATCAAAACCAGAACTGGAACGGTGCCTTACCAGGTTTTCATATTCTTCCATATTTTCGTTCTCTCCTGCCGTGCTACTGAAACTGCTGGTGCTGGAAGATGAACGGGAGATATTGGACCGTCCGTTCTCTTTGAGTTTAATGAATGGCCTTGCAGCAAACAAGAAGAAAGCAGACGGTTAAAACCAGGAACGTGTAGCAAATTCTCCCCAGATTCTGGGGTTCTGAGTCACTGAATTATGCTCCTGAACCAGCACGGCCTCATAACAGAATGGCTGCTTTTGCACTCTTTTGTCTCTATTTAAAATTTGCAGATTGGTTCAGAACACTGTCCATTTGACCTTTGCCAAGCTCTCCAGCTCCTTTCGTGCTTCTTGTCCAACCCTTGAAGTAAAACACTGGAGGACCCCCAGTCCGAAATCAAGTGAGCATGCCCCTTTTTGGTGCATGACTTGCAAACAGGCGATACCAAGAGTCTTAATCTGAAATCTGCAGGGAATGAGTACCTGCTGGATCTGACCAAAGGCCTCCCAGCTCCACTGTTCTGCTCCCACATTGGCCAATCAGCTGTCTCTAGGAAGCCCAATTTACCTCTCTTTGCTGGGGCAGATCTCCGGAGAACTCGGGTTCGAGGAAGCTTCTGACTTTACTTCTTGAGAGGTATGTCCCCCGTCTGGAGTCTTTGGTGTTCCTGAGCCACTGTCACTGTGAAGAGAAGGAAGAAGGCATCTGATAAGTTGCTAAGCAAGAGACGGGATGGTTCCAGGAGCTTCCACCAGGGCCACTTGGGGGCCTTTCTCAGGCTGTGGTGTGCCTCTCCTCTTTCTGACCAGATGTTGTGCACCACAGTCAATTGAAGCCCTTTCTGGACCACACCTCCCTGTCCTCCTACAAGCAAGGTCTCATGATCCATCAGTCACCAAGACACCAGTAAGGATTCATGAAATTTCTACGCAGGGGAGTAAAAACCTGGCCAATTCTTTTGGTTTGGGCCCCTGAATCCCATTCCTCTATGTCTATTTGCCTTTTAAAGCCATGTAAGCCAGTGGATATATCATGAGACAATGAGTTCCACAGATTTCTCCTATCTGTCCTTAGTATATCATCACTCGGTTTTGAAATAGAACACTGTGAGGCAAAAGGCATGGGTGAGGCAACATGAAGGAGCTAAACTGGAAGTATTTATGTATTTAAATCTTTTGTAGACTGTCCCATTACTGAAGTCTCAGGATGGCTTAACAATACAAAATGTTAAAAACAAAAACAGAGTCCTAAAATTTAGCTAATAATAAAACCCCAATTAAAACAATCAGGTCTTAAAACATTGGGAAAATAAAAGGATTTTGGCCCTGGTACCAAAAAGTATAAAGTTATGGCTCTGGGGGAACCTCTCTGGGGAGCGAATTCCATAATTGGGGGGCCACTACAGAGAAGGCCCTTCCCTGAGTAGTCACTCTCCTAATCTCCTTCAGGGAGGGCACCTGGAGAAGGGCACCTGCCCCGGATCTTAAGGGGCGGGCGGGCATGTGTGGAAGGAGATGCTCCTTCTGTAAGGTTTGTCAAAGACCCTTGGGACAATATACCACTCCAAGGTCGTATTGCTTTATTCAGTTACCTTCGAGTCCGGGGCTCCACCTGGCTTTCGGACCCAGTGTGCAAGCGCGGGAACAGCCCGGACCGCCTCTTGATGGGGCTTCTTGACTGATTCTTCACTGCCACTGCTGCCACTGGAGGCTGAGAAGACAAAGGATCTGCAAATTCACACATTTTCTTCCTGTTTCATTTTAGCCTCACAGGAAGGATAAAGGTGTATGGTGCCCTCTGGCCCAGCCAATCAGTGCTATGTTCATGCATTGCTGTTTCCACAAAAGGAAGAGATCCCCCCAGCTTCAGCCCAGGAGAAGGCTAAAGTTATTGGACAAGAAAGCAGAGATCCCTGAAGACACCCCTGGTTTACTCTACTTACCGAGAAGGTGGTCTTGGTTATTTCAATGCTGTTGTGGGCAATGCCCCCACTCAAGCTCCCGGGAATCCCTCCACTCTGGTGTTTCTTCTGGCTTCCCACCATGGTCTCCATGGAGTGGCTTCGGACTCGGATGGCCCTCTGCCAGGCGAAAACAAGAAAAGGGGGCGGATTAAGATTCCACAACCCAGTGAATGGAGGTAGGATGGAGAATCCCGGAAGAAGCCATGGTTAGCTGGCATCCTGCTGAAAAGAAGCATCCCATGCTGCAACGTTTTGTGGAAGAGGATTGAAGCAATGCAGTGGCTAACATGTCGGGATGAGGCTGTGGAGATCCGGGTTCAAGCTCTGAGTGAGCTTGTTGGGTGAACTTTTACTGGCCTCTCTGGCCAGCCTACCTCACGGGGATGTGTCATCGTTGTCATTTCACCCAACCTCAAACCAGTTCACTCCAACACCGGTCTGTTTGGAAGGAAAGCTGGATCACCCCAAACCAAAATGGAATCTTCTGCAGTCCCAAATGAAAGTCAAGACATTCAGGAATACAGCACATTAAAGAGGCAGCTAAGAATTTTTGCATGCATGCATCACCGTTGTACCCAAGGATCTGTAAGGAGACATTTTGGGGAAGAGTCTCCCACCGGGACCTAAACTCCAGCAGATTCTGATAAACGTTTAAGAGCGATTCTTCAGCAGGGGAAGCACAGCAAGAGTTCTGCAACCGCTTCATGGATGTTTTGAAGAGGGACTGGGGAATGAGCTGCCATGCCTCAAGTGTAAGATGCCATCTTTCCATACATGTGATCTATTATACTCTAGAAGGTTGGCGGAATTTCTTTCATTGCAGTTCTGCAATGAAAGACCACACATCCTCCTACAGAGCTGTTCTGAAATCTTGGCTTTCCAATCCACTTTTTGGTTCAAGGGGGAACCAAAATGTGTTGGAATTCCAATACATCATGTCCTGTGAAAATAGGGCACTCATCACGTCGCTTCTCTCCTGAAATATTTGCAGGAGAAAAAGGCACCTTTTGTTCCCCTTCTTGATCTACAGGGCTGCCTGGGAACAACACTGGAGCAAAGTCTAGAGCTTCTCTCCACAAAATGCGCAGAGACACTCACTGAAATTCAGTGAAGACCCATTGCCATCATAGGAGGGAAGGTCTTACAGGACCATGAATTTCAGAGTCTAAGACTAGCCAATGGTGGCCAGCCATGCTTCTCCAACTCCATGGATGCTCTCGCCTTTACCTCCCTTTCTGCAGGGATTGCTACACATAAAACCCAAACCTGCCTGACAGCGCAATTTCCTGATTGAGTAGAACAACCCTGGAACAAACATGGCCCGGCAACTTGCCGCGAAATGCACAGGGCCGCACTCGTGTGACATCTTTACGAACTGCTGCTCTCAAAAGAAATGTCTCAGTGATGCAAAAAATGCAACCTAAGACCATGATTATGTCCTGCATGTTATGTCACTGCTGCCTTCTTGGGAATGCTTGCTGGAAAAAAGGTCATGTTTCTGAGTGGCACAGATGAGTCAGGGCTTGTCTAACTGGTAAGATGTCCCTGAGATGGACGCTACCCAGCTCAGGACCCTTTTGCATCATGGAACAGACTTCATGCATCAGCCACCATGGCCAGGCCACCCCTGTGTGGGAGACGCCCCAGCTGTCCTACACACCAGAGCTGCATCGCACCCCAAAAGATGCCTGTACCTCTGGATATAGCCTTGGATCCATAATGTTCTTGCACCGGAAAGAGACGCGGGTGTCTCGAGTTGCAATATCTCCCTCCAACTATCACCACCAGCCTCAGGCTGTTTCTCTTGCAAACACTCTTTGTTGTTGCCACTTGTAAATCATCAGAGAGTCTCTGAGCATGCACAAAGCGGTTCGTTGAGCACAGTCTCGCACCTGCAATCTGAAACTCTCCTTCTGAGAGCATTTGTGACCCAACTGTCTGGGAAGGGCACTGTGGAACCTGTTCATCTCCATTCCACACACTTCTCAACTGTGCTGATACCTGACCTAGGGAGCAGCTCTGAAGGGAGGGGATGGTCGCTGTTTGAGGATTCCCCAGTCTTAGAAGCCCCTTCTCCATACTGTTCCCAGGATCTAGCCAAACCTGCTCATGGACTACTTTCTTACACTTCCATTTCCTCCCAGGTCCTTGAACAACCCCCTGCTGCTCAAGCCCATCAAAATATCTGCTGACTCCTTCTGAATCCAAATCAGCAAAAGTGTCAGACTCGTTTCCCATGGGAACACCTGCCCGAGCCCACCCTTACGCTCGCTCCCAACAGCAGGCCGGGCCTGGCATTGCATGAGAGGCTCCTGGGAAAAATTCTGGTGACTCACAAACATCTGGGCCTGAAAGATCAGATGCCCCCCCGCCCCAAGCCCAATGCCATTTGAAGTCAGCGAAGTCATACACAGTACCATCTCAAGGCAGGAGAAGACCAGGAGGTCCAGATACTGGCAGACCCCCATGTCCCACCAGGGTGACGAGCTCTTCCTGGGTGCCATGGTCCAGCAGCTGGGCATGCAAGTTACCATTATTAATTACGCTGGGATCAGGGATGCTGCATTAGGAAAGTCTTCAGTGGCCACTTGCCAACTCAGCAGTGGCCACCAGTTTTCCCCATTCTGAGGCTCCCCAATATGGGGAGATTGGACACTTCTGGCAAGGTCCCGGTATAATGAAATATGGAACATGGTAATTAATGATAAACTGATGACAGAAATAAAAATTAAAAGAGGGTCAATGAAAGCAAATGAATATAATGGAATCTGGGAAGATTTTGTAAAAGCAGTACTGATACAAGGCAAAGGCTGTAAACCCAGTCAAGATTATATGAACTTCTGGAGGGGATTTGGAAATGATTGAAGTATATTATATATTATAAATTGTTATAGTTTGTGAATGGTGGTAGCATTGGTCCCTGGGGTGCTGGGGGCACTTTATCATTTACCTTTTATTATTGTGTTTTTGTTATGTTATATCATTATTGTTATGATGCATTTTATTTATGGGTTTTATTGATCGATTGATTGATTTATATCCTGCCTTTTTCCTACAAAGGGCTCAAGGCAGCTTACATATTCTGCTCCTCCATCTTATCCCCACAACAACAACCCTGTGAGGTGGGTTGGGCTGAGAGTCTGTGACTGGCCCAAAGTCACCCAGTGGGCTCCATGGCCGAGTGGGAACTCGAATCCAGGTTGCCTGAGTCCCAGTCCCACACTTTTAACCGCTACACCACACTGGCTCTCCCGTTGGGTTTGTTGGGTTTTTTTGGTCTTAAAAAATGGGTGAGGGACTTCTGGCAAGGTCCCTTCAGGCGTGGAGTCCGTCTCAGATCGGGCGATTCCAGTGCCGCCAAAGGCCCATTTCACAAACCCCACTTACAACTGAGAAACGAGGAAGGAAAAGTGAGTATTCGTTTCGGTTTGGTCTGGGTGAAAAATTTACCCAAATATACAACATTCTGCATGCTTGGGAGAAAAAGGGCTGTGGGGCAGTATAAAAACAAAACAAATAAATAAAATGTGGGACAAACGTAGGCTGACGAATTTATCCATCCAAGCCCAGGCTGGGAACTGGAGGACTTTTTGCAGTGCAGAATTTTACCCTACGTTATTTGCAAAGACGCATGACTGACCTGCAAACCGCATTAGCTTGCGGCTTTAAAGTGAGGTGGCCTAAGCTGGTATCTCAGGGCTTTGCCCTGAGAAGGAGCATAAAAAGACTCAAAAAACTAAATCAGTCTTGGACATGCTACACTAGAATAGCCGAGCCCCATGTAAGTACATGGAAAGCTGGGCCAATCATTTCCAAATGTCCCATGTCACACATGCACGAAACATAGAAAGTTGGAAGGGGTCTCTTGGGCCATCTAGTCTGACCCCCATTTAGTGTCCACGAAGGCGCACACGCAAATATTTATTCAAAATAAAGCAAGACAAAACAAAAGAAAAATCCACAATGTGTGGTTTATTAATGTTAGGTACACAACTACAGAGACAGAGAGATCATCGGCTTACACAGGCAGAGATCCATTAGTTCACCCTGCTACCCAAGTCAGGCTCAGGCAGAATGCAAAACTCAGCATACCTGCCTATCCCTGTGGTTAGAGCTCCTGAACGTATCTGTAGTTATTATGGGACACGGTCTGGTGAAAGTCAGGCATGTCTAAGGATTAAGAAGAACTGCACCAGTGGTGCAATCCAGTCGTTTCAGATGCTAGGCTTTTTAAAAAAAAAATCTTAGCAAGAGTGGAGTGCTTTAAGAGGTAATGCATTTTGCTTCACTGACTTCAAAAGGTTTGATGGCATTTTGGGACACCCCCTGATGGGGCTGGACTTGGATGTGTACTCCAAAATCTACCCTATCAGCACCACAAGTACCCCAAAAACATTAAAATGCTACCAAAAAGAAATGACTCTCAGTGCAATCATTAGAATTGTGTACCAGCTTCAGAAACGGCTTGAATATCAAACTTTTTTAAAGCAGGAATTTGTCCTCCTATGTATTTGTTTACTGGCTTGTTTCTTAATTAATTAATTAAGAATTGTTCTTAATGAACAATCTACCCAATCAAGTCTGCACATTTAGTCTGCCCATTCTTTGAAGAGATCGCAAACCCTGAAAGGAACATATGACAATACAAATAGTTAGAAAGATAAAAAACAGTATAAACATTTTAAAGAATAAGATACAGTACAAACTGATAAGCTATGCAGGGATAGATAAATGCAGATAGGTGCGATATTTTATGAAGAATTAAAAACCAGTCTCAGAAATGCCTGGAAGAAAGGAAGGGTCTTTGGCTGTTGCTGAAAAGATAACAAGGATGACTTCTTTGCGGCGGGGGGGGGGTGTATTTCTTAAGCAGGGGGCTGAACCAGAGAAGGACTTCTCTCTTGAAGCTGCCTGCCTAAATTCCGTCAGGAGATGCACCCAGAGAAGGGCCACCAAAGATGACCTGAGGGTCTGATCAGGTGTATCTAAGAGGAGACCCTTATTCCAAGCATGGATTTACTTGTTACTCCGATAACTGGAGTTTTCCAGGAAGTCCCCAAGAATAAAAGCAACATGATAAAATACAACAGTGAAGTTGTGAATGGCCATGTCATCAACAAGGGGAGGCCCCAAACAACACTTCTGGGGTCTTCCCCCAAAGCCACAATTCCATCGCAGCAATTCAACCAGAAGGCTCCTGGACTGTGGATAATTATTGCCAGGCTAACCCAGTCCAGATGGGGACACAGCTGGAATAGCGACCAAACCTCCAAAGCTCAGGAAGTGATATGAACACCTCCATGATGTGCACTTGGTCTTTCAAGGGACACCCCCCCACCTCCGGAACAGGTTGGCTACCACGCAACCAGGCAGATGGGCCACCCCTTAATTGGAGTTCCATCCAGTCTTTAGTGGATTGGTCCCCTTTTAGTCCATGTCCCTGCTCAGGCACCAGTCAGGGAAGCCACTGTCCCACCTGAGTTAGACAAGTGGAGGGAAGAGCACAGTGTCATTGGCATCTTGATGACATCTCAGCCCATCCCCCACAGGGACTTCATAGCATGGGGTATAAATCTTAGCCCTGTGGATGCAATTGCCATGAAACAAAGCAGCCCTCAACACCACCTTCCGGAAATGGCCAACCAAATAGGAATGGGCACCCTACAAAACAGCATCCCAAGCTCTCAACCCAGCCAGCCGACCCAGAAGGCTGTCGTGGTTCAAGAGAAGAGGTCCAAGAGAAGGAGCAGGGCTGCACTTCTCTCAAAGTCACACCAGAAGGACACAAGGGCAGCGGGATGGATCTAGAAAATCAGCCTGAAGAACACCTGGAGATGATCAGCAACTACGCACTGGCGTTCCTTGTCCAAGGAGGGCATGTTAGCAATTCTAAGCCTAGAATTATCTTCCATGCCTGAGACCAGGTTGGGTTTCTTCAGAAGCCACCTGCTTCCTGTGTCTCTGAAGGAGGCTGGGGTCACCCCATTTCTCAAAGAGAACTTTACAATGTCCTGGACCCAACAAGCCACAAAGCAAAGCAGGTCTTCCCCAAAGCAGTCCAGTCGCAAGAAGACTGGGCTGAAGGTCTTGGATTGGTAACAGAACATCAGGGACATTGGGACAGATGCCAAAAGTTTGATGCATGGCTTCAGAGCAGTCCCCACATGCCTTGGAACTGTGTACAGGGCAGACATCAAAACAGCCTCCCTGGAGCAAGTAACCCTAGGATCCCAGCCAGTCCGCCTTTCTGCCTTGTTTTATTTATGTACGTGTGATAACTCAAAAAGAGGCCGGAAGAGCAAAATGAACCAAAGGCAGCCACAGAGGTAGCCACTGTATCCAGAACTCCACACAGAGCTGGGAGTTTTAAAAATAAATTTTAAAAGATGATGGCAAAGGAAGGTTCTCAGGCCCTTGATTCTACTTCAGAAAACAGAAAATCTGGAATGCAAAAACTGAAAGAGAAATTTGGATGGGGAAAATTTGGGGGACGGAAGGAAAGGATGAAAGGAAACAGAGGAAAGAAAGGAAAGAGCAGATGAGTGAAAGGAAGGTCTTTCAAGGCACGTGATTGACTTCAATGGGATCCACTTACAGGTGAGTCTAATGTTCTACCACTTAGTTCTACCTGACTGGTTTAGATCTAATTGGAGAGAAACTGGGCCTTTCCATTTCTGGCCACCTCTATATATTCACAGGAAACAGGCTGAGAATGAAATAAGCTACCAAGCAGACCAGAAGGGCTGTCCAAAGAGTAAAAGGCAGCTGCCCAATTATTTTGCTAGATGCTTTCCTCATAAACCTTGGGATGCCCTGCAATGCCAAAAAAGCAAGAAAATCCAATTTCATATCAGATGAAGCAAGGGGAAACATTAATGCTAACATGTCTGGGGGCTCATACCGAAATGGTGTTTGTGACAAGCAGAACAGTGACATTTCAGGCATTTGTGGCTGGGGGTGGGGGGGGGGGGGAAAGAGAATGGCAGACATGTGCCCCCACTGTCTGCTGCAGAAATTCACAGCTACAATATGAGAAACAGTCCTTTTCACATTCTTTTAACCAGCAGCTTAGTGGCCAAATTGGGTTATTCATGGCAAAGTTTATTGCCCTGAAAATTTGTTCTTCTTTTTAAAAACTTTCCAGATCTTGAGGCTGCCAATACAGATTTAAAAGTCCTCGGCAAAATTGCAAACACTGCATGTTTACTCAAAAATAAATCCCACTGATTCTAGTTGGGGCGGCACAATGTTTCCATCGGTTGAGCTTCGATGCCCTGCTCCTGTACGGACGCACAAATTCCGCAAGGCATGCCGAAGGCATTCAATATTACATTACATTATTCACTTGGCAGAATTCAATATTTCCAAGGGCACACACATCTGTGCATAAAAAGCACAGGAGACGCAGAGAAGCTGCAGAACAGAATGGCGCTGTAACAAAACGAAACCGTCCCCAGATTCAGCCTGAATGAGTTGGGCTTCCCGGGGGAAGTTGGCAGAGTTAAGGAATTAATGGAATACTGGGGTTCACAAGACGGATTGAGACAGCATTGCAACTGGCATCTGATTGAAACGGAAATGCATTCATTCTGGACAAGGGCTCATGTTGTCCCATTGGCTTACGGGGAAATATATTTGCTTCTGTCATCCGAAAAATCTCTTCCTATTCCCTGCCGAACGCCGTATTTTTACAACCTTTCCACGTATGCTTGCATGCATCGTGGTTAAGTTTGCCACCATGTTCGTATTTCCTCCCATAAGATGAGCAACTTTCTGGTGTCTTCTTGTTCCCCGAGCCCACTCCATCACGTGTGTTGTTCTGCATTAACTGCCGCCTTGCATTACGTTCTCCCCTTAACGTGGGAAAGATGGACAGCCTCTACTGTCCAAAAAATCTTCCAGCTGTTTCCTAAGCACGATTTCTGCAGCTCTCCATACTTTTGTGTCCTGTATTCCACACTCTCTCTGGGCCCTTATTAAGCAGTCTTGGATTGCTTCTGTTGCTTAATCCCACATGAAAAAGTTTTTCCACTCTTTCATTCTTTCTGGGGTTGCAGTGGCATCAAAACAAACCAAGGAAAAGTACATTGTGCTTTGAAATGTCTCCAGAGATGCTCACTTATTTCTCTCTAGCGTCTTTCCCTTTCACAGACTCCTCCTTATCTCCTTATCTCCCACTGTGATGTTCACATAAAGACCTCTTTCCAAGTTTCCTAAACTAAGCTTGCAAGATTAAGCTTAGGTGGTGACTTCAGGCTTTCACTTTTGCCCTCTCTCTTTTAATTTTGACCTCTCTACTCAGAGTTCAAGGATTCTTCATCTGCCTAGGATACAGTCAAGATAGCCACCGTCTGTCATGACCTGCTCTCCAAAGAGTCAGAAAGATGCTACTTCTACATAGACCTGCATGCTCTTTTTTCCTTCCAGAGACACCCAGTCTCAGACCAGAAACAGAGCGTGTTTCCTTCACTAGGTCATGGTTCCCCTGAGGAAGTACAACCCATTCAGGCTGAATTCAGCAGACGGTTCATATTGTCACATTCCCATCCATAAGGATGTGACATGGAATAAAATTTTGTCCTGTCCCAAAGCTTTATGCTTCTGTCACTATGTCTGATCCCCCATCTTTGGCCTTCTGGGGCCACATGTCTCAGATGAGATCTCAGACTTGCCAGTTCATTAAATCTCCTCCTTTACCTTAAATGATTCCAAGAATCCTCCATGGCCTCCGTTCTCCAGCTTGTCCTCTTCAGATCCCAGGCCTAACATCAGTTGCGTGTGGACATGGAGGTCGTCGTGGAGGTTATCCAACAGGGCAGCTCGTGTTCGATCCTGGACACAGTGGATTGAAGCAACTTAATTGCATCAGATGGGTTTGCTTTAGCCTGCTTTTGTTGCTAAGCAGCACCAGAATCTGCCTTGGTGGGATCCTAAGGTTTTTCCGAGCCCACTAGAAAAGGGCAGCCATTTTACAGGATGACTTCCGTGTGTTCTTCACCATTATTTCTGATCTGCCCCCAATCCCATGCAGGTCCTGGCATTATGAAAAATGCAGAATTGTAGCCAGACTGCCAACATGGTTGCTACCAACGCCACTCGCTGTGGAGGCAAAGGGGAATCTTGGGGAAAAGGAAAGGTGCTTTGCTACTACCATGCTGAGCCCCACCCGGGGGGAACTGTTGGAGAACGTCTCCTCTCCCCAGAAAAATGGGGCCAAAGGGTCCCTCCAGTTTCTCTGCCCACCCAAAGAAATGGAGAGGCCGCTTGCAAGCATCTCTAAACTAGTGGAAAGCAATCCAGAGAACATCAGTAAGGCTAAGTGTAGCTGAACAGGTCAGACTGGGCAGATTGGGGATGTGCCATGAGGGTTACCCCAAAAATGCATTGCACCCTTTGAACACTGAAGCTCAGAGGTCTTTGTGGCAGCAGTCAGAACAAAGTTCTAACACTTATTTTTTTATTTATAACTGAATTTATAATCTGCTTAGGACTCTCTAAGCAGATCCACTTGTGTCCATGAGCCAGGTTTGATGCTAGGACCATAATCAACAGCAGAGCAAAATATTATAATATATAATGTTATCAGTGCCAATGCTGTGCTTTTGGCACAAAGCTTCTGTCCTGTGTGGCAGAAATTTCATGTGGGAGACTTGAGGGCAGTGATGAAATGGGAACTCCATGGGATCTAGGATTAATGCAAATTATCCAGTATGTTGCCGAAAATTGAATGTGCATGAAAGCAGCCTAACCTTAATTGGCATAAGTATGTAATTGATAGAGCCGCAAGCTTTAATCTACTGATTAAACAAGATTTATCAGCTAAAGCTTTTGTGAATTAATCCACAAGAGATCAGTTTAATGAGTGGGGACAAACTTTAATCACAAAGCTTTGCTGCTGTTGGTGTGTTGTGTTCATTTAAAGGTAGCGGGTCTGTGAATTCTGTATTTTCCAGTTTGGAAATAGGCCTTCCAACTCGGCACACATAAATAAGATAAAGAAGACCCAGTGGACTTTACTTCACTTAGCCAGCAGCTAATAGGAGGTAATGTTCATTTCCTTTGGAATACATAAATGGAAAGTTAGAATTAAGCACCCCAAATCCAAGTCCATCTCTCTTCACATGCCTTCCCCGCTGCTTGGAGGCAGCAAGGTGCAAAGGAGGAAGAGATCTCTGCACAGACCTGGCATATTGCCCCAGGAATATGGGGCACGCCAAAGAGAAAGATCCTTTTCCCCTTTGCTACTGCCTAGACCACAGAGCAGGTAAGTGTGGGGTTTGGACAGAGGAGGAGGAGGAGCTGGGGGTTCAGTGGAGGAGGACTCAGACCAAGCTGCGCTCCTGATGGAGTCAGAGCTGCGGACGGACAGTCCATGGGTTTCTAGTACACATGGGCTTTGGCATGCATTCCACCAGCAGCCTGTTCCATCCCGTTTTCTCCAAGTCCTTTTAAGTGCTTAAATGGTGCATCTGGGACAAGGACTGTAGCTTTGTAGCAGAGTACCTGCCTTGCGTGCGGACAGCCCCAAATTCAGTCTCTGGCTTTTCCAGACTGAAACCACTCTGCCTGAGAACCTGATAAGCCATTGCTGCCAGTCAGAGTTGATTGCACTGGGCTAGATAGACCAAGGGCCTGAATCAGTCTAGGGCAGGGGTCAGCAACCCGCGGCTCCAGACCCGCACGTGGCTCTTGAATCCCTCTGCTGCGGCTCAGTCGCTCAAAACACGCGCCGGCACAGCTGCCGATCTGCAACCGAGGCCCCGAGTTACAAAATACCAACGCCCCACTAGCTGGTTAGGTAAATTGCTACTTTCCTCTGCTATTGTGCAGGGAAAGAGTGGAACGAGCTCCCTGCAGGCTCTCATGTTACTCAAACACTGCTGAAAAGATTTCCTTTGTCCCATTGTAATCCCCTTCATCTGAATGTTAAAAGCTGCGCTTGGGACCTGTCACAATTCACAGCACTTGACTGCTTATCTGCTAATCAGTCACTAAACATACCTACAGAGCTCCCCCCCCCCCCCCCCGCAACCCCCCAGGCCAACCATGGATAAATTGAAGAAAAGTTTCAGAAGAGAACCAAACGTTTAATGGTACATCGGTAGATTGATTTGCTTTTACCGCTGACGAACTTATGGGGTTTGCTGTTTAATGGACGCAGCCGTTAGCACTGACTTTGACTCTTCAGGAAGCTGTTCTCCTATTCAAACTATATGAAACGAGTCCTACTACTTTATAATGTAAGATTAAAAATAACAGTTTTTAGCAACAGAACAAAAGCTGCAGCTAAATCATAATGAAGATATACATAGCATTAGGGTAAAAAACGATATATGCAGTGTTATCTTCATTTTAGATGTCAAAAGGGTTTTGCGGCTCCCGGTGTTTTCTTTTGTGTGGGAAACGGGTCCAAATGGCTCTTTGAGAGTTAAAGGTCGCTGACTCCTGGTCTAGGGCAAATCTGCACATCTTCCCCTGAAATATACATTTGTGGACATATTTTCCCCACACAGATATATATCTATATAGATAGATATAGATATAGATTCTCTCATACAATACAAATTTCTGGAATCAGCTTTTGAGTCAAAATCCACTGGAAAATTCAGAGCAGTGGCTCTATTTGGATCTACGAATCAGTCCAGCAATTGCGGATCACAGGTTGGGCCACTGCTGGGATCTCACTGGGCTTGCAATAAGCATCAGCCGTCCGTGTCCGATGCCGACCAGGACGGTTCCCAGCAGGCCCTGCTCACCTGCCCGCTGGTCTTACCTCAAGCTTTGCAAATTTGTCTGACTTGCAGCAGGCATTCTCTGCATTGATCAGCTTGGCAAGAAGAAACTCTCGGAATTCGGAGTTCTGAGGATGAGGGGAAAGGAACAGGTTAGCAGCAACATTGGCCCACCCAAGTCACCAAGTCCTTTTGGATGGGAGCTCTGGTGATCATCAAACTGGAAAAAAGAGGTCCATGTATTGTCTGCAGACTCTGGTTCTGTGCCGATTACCCTCCGGCAGAAATGCTAGGCTCATAATTTTTGACCATTTTGTACAGTGAGGCAAAATGGCTGCCAAAGAAAGATGATGTTTGAGAATCCGTGAGTGGATGAAAGCAATTTGTCTTCAGGAACTGGGGGGGTTGCTCGTTGTAAGACAAATGGGCAGAGCGTTTCCACTGTTTTCTTCGACTATCAGACGTCTGCTTGCCAGATCAAAGCTTCCAGCAGGACACTGGCAACATTCCTTCCAAATTTCCACCCTCCTAGGGGTATTGCTGTGAAAACAAGATGGGGTCCCCTTCTTGCCAAAAAGGTGGAAAAGCTTCAGCTGAGAGACAGTGTGGTACAGTGGTTAGAGTGCTGACCTAGGATTCTGGAGCGCAGAAATCCAAGTTCTGGACCCACTCAGCCATGATGTGGGTCACATTGGCCAGCTGCTCTCTGAGCCTAACCTCCCTGGGAAAGTTGACATGAGGATAAATTAATGGGGAGGAGGAAGAGGTGTCAGGATATGGAATGGGCTTCCACGGGAGGTGGTGGAGGCTCCATCGGTGAGGCTGGACATGCACATGGTGGGCATGTCATAAGCGGAGCTGGCTGGAGCCAGGAGTCAGACTAGATGGTCCCGGAGGCCCCTTCTGACTCGCTCTGTTTCTATGTCTTGGCCTCCTTTGAGGAAAATGCAAGATAGAAATGCAACCAAAAAAATGGAAACAGAAAGGCAGAACTGGAAACTCCAGGCCATCTTATAACAGTAGGCCAATCACCACCTGAAAATCCATCATTAACTTAAAAATAAAATCCATTTCGCACCCCCTCCGAGAGTCACTAAATCTCCTGTGCAACACACACACACACTCCTTGGGGGACAAACACGCAGCGCATCACTTACTTTTTGAAATACAGGTGGGCTTGGCAGTGAAGGACCGAATGGGGGGACGTCTTCCCGTGCAGTGACGGCCACCTAATAGAAATAGGAAGAACAAATACAAGGGCAAGCTCCAAGAGACAGTCAAAGAGAGAACAGAAGCTGGTGCTGAGAGGGCAGGCTGGGAGCTTGTGGGTAGTTTTGGGAAGGCCTCGATGGCAGCCGCAACCAAGAAAACCAGGTGCAGTCAGGAAAGACCCCTTTCGCCTTGAACCTCAGCAGTTTCTCAGCACCAACTACAAGCTTTTAGAAAACATACAGAGTGTTTTATAGATTCTGAGTCACATGGGCCCAGCAGCTGGGCAAGTGATGAAGAAGCAAGGGGAACACAGCCAGAAGAAGGTGAGAAATCTGCAAAGGGGGTTCCATACGATGGCATTTGATTGCAGGAGATTAACGCAACGATCATGGGATTAGTCTGAGTCTTGGCATGCAAATGAGGGTGATTGCAATGCTGCTAACCAGGCAGCCTGACCAGTTCTTACTGATCAGCAAAACAGCCTTGGCAGCTTCTCGGGGAAGCCATCAAGTCCTACTTCTTAAAGTAACAGCACATGCCAAATGCTTGGAATTTTGGGTGCTTCCTGAGAAAGGGGTGCCAGCATTTTCTAACACAAAGACACATAAGCATCCCTTTTCTGCCAGGATGTATCTAAATTTTCCCAGCAGTAGGTGAGAGTCGGGCAGGCCATTGTATTGTTTAATTGTTGAAAGGTTGTCTGTTATGCTGTGAGCCTCCCAGAGAACTTATGCCTAATGGGGTGGCATACAAACCAAATAAATGAACAACCTTCAATCAGACAAACTCTGTTTAAGCTTCAAGAACAGAAACAAGATAAACCTGCTTGGATACTGGACAGATTTGCTGCAAATTCCCAGGTTCGCAAATTCCCCCTCTGCAGCAAGAACACCACTGAGTACCAGCTGCCTCTTAGACAATAAATACCCACTTTCAGAAGGCTTAGTGGAATCTATTTATCTTCAGATTATATTTCATAGTCCCCAAAACAGATGCCAAAGAGATGCGCAAACTCACACACAGCCTCACAGACACCTTCTTACTTTGTAGGACGTATTGTCCATTTCGGGGTTTTCTGCCTGGACAACAACATAGGCGTGTAGAAAATTCGAGGCAATCATGTCAGGGACAAAAGCAGTGTTTTCTTCTTGGAATATAATGGCCACAATATCATTGCCAATGTGCCTCTTTCGCTGAAGCTGAAAGGACACAAATAAGAAGAGAACTCAAGCACAGATGGCAGTAATTTCTGCATTTCGTACATATCTCAAACAGCTTCCTGGCTGTACAGAATATTGTCTTCCTTCCTTGGTATTCTTTCCCAGGTTCCCACAAGCTATGCACACATCTTGTAAGTAGTTCAAGTAAGGCTGGGCTGAAAGTCTGTCTGTCTGTCTGTCTGTCTCTCCCCCCCCCCCCCGCCCTCTTTGGGTGGGTGGGTGGGTGAAAGTCCTCACATTCTTCTCTGGGGAGGGTCAGTATGTTTCTTTCTGTCTTTCACTAGGGGAGGGGGAGAGATGACTGCTTCAACTGGCCCTTGAAAAGGCTCAGGGACCACCAAACTTTTTGGGGCAGAAAATGCTCCTTTGGTATGTTCATAGAATCATAGAATAGCAGAGTCGGCCAGAGAGCCATCTGGTCGAACTCCCTGCTCAGTGTGGGACTCTGAGGGCATGTTGGCTCCCCAGGTCGCATAAACTACCAAAATATCTGAGAAAATATATTAGTGAAATGGTTACAATGAAGAAAGAGTGTAGAATTCTGTCTTTTGTAAAGACCTTTTAGACACGTTGAATAGCTTTTGGCCAGTAGAGTTCCAGGTTGAACATCTGCTAGAAACTTTCTCACTGATGCAGTTGCTGTCAACGCTTCTGTGCCCAGGCTACCTTGAATCGATAAGGGCATTTTAGAAAGAATCAGACTATCACCAAATTCGGCTGCCTGTAGCCTTTCATTTATGAGGGCCCAGGGGACGGGGGAATGGGGGTTGGCTTGGTGTTGTGCTTCAAGACCTGAATTGCAATTGTTCAGTGCAAGAGCACCCGTGGTTTCATGTGGGGCACAGTTACCTTAGTGCAACGATTAGGACCCCCCCACAGAAACAATACATGCATGGAGTGTTATTCCCAGCCAGCAGGTCATTTTGAGCACAGTTTTGGATACGGGCTTGGCACTCCCCAGGTGGCAATTCAATCACAGGACACAGACCCCAGTGCAGAAAACAATTCACACCTCCCCGTCCCGTCGCCATACAATGCCCACTTTGTATGAGCCAGTTCCTCCTCGGTCTGCCGTTTCTGCTTCCCTCTGCCTGACATTTGAGCCAGAGAAGAAGGTCGGCTTGCGGTTACCTGCTGTGCATCTCCCTCGGTGAAGGGAAGCTTCGTAGAGACGTGAAACATAATCTCTCTGTCCCTGAACACTGTGTATACAGACTCTGTGCCTGTCTGGCCATGAGTGACATCCAAGCCACCTCGAAAGCTGCAACAAGAGTGAAAAACAACAGATGCTTCACGCCAGACTGTTTTCAGCAAAGGCAGAACAGCTTAAAGGAGAACAGCAGCCCAATTCTGACCAAATCACTTAAGGCCGAAGCAAAAGACACGCTTGCTTGCTTGCTTGCTTGCTTGCTAGTTGCGAAGTCATGTCCAGCCCATCATGGCCCCATTGACTCCTCCAGGCCTTCCTGTCCTTCAGCATCCCCCAGAGTCCTCTTAAACTCACGCCGACTGTTTCAGTGACCCCATCCAGCCACCTCACCCTCTGCCGTTCCCTTCTTCTTTTGCTGTCAATTGTTACCAGCATTAAAAGACACACAGCACAGCCCAAATCAAATTTCCCCACTGTTTTCATTTTCCCAAGGGAGGGTCCAAATTTGGTCAGATGTGTCTGTTAAAGAAATTTGGATGAAGTGTATATATTAGAGAAAGATGCATAAAATGCATTTACTGCAAAAAGCTGCATGAAAAAAGAAATCAAATTTTTGCACTTTTTAAAAAATAGAACATATATGCAGAAACTGAATGGAATGAAGATGTGGGTGAATAAATGCAATATTTTGTGTATCTTTACAATTTGGGTATCCTTGCTCCTTAGGATTGCAACGTGAAAGTGCCAATATTTAAGGGGGGATGAGGAATGCCAAATTCCCATGGAAGTTGAGTTCCATGGAAAATTCCATGGAATTTCCTTCCCTAAATCCTCACATTGGCATTGGGTTGATGGCATAAGTGCCAACATCTTGAATCCTTCTGAAAGTGAATAGACTTGTGTGGGACTACAGGGACTATACCAATAATTTATGCTAATAAAAATTCTAGTGGAAATATTGAATGTTTGGCTTAAAATACAAAGAATAACATGACATGTAAAGCCTTGATTTAAACACACTCATTAAGCAACAAGGTTTAGAAAATATAATGCACTTCCAGTCAATACTTAGCACTCTGGAATAGATGGTTAGATCATCAGAGAGAGGGACAGAGAGGAAAGAAAAACAGCTTGCACTAAACACCTTTCTAACATGCTCCAGTCGTCCCTTTTTATTACTGCTGCGTATTTTCCAGCTCTGCATACCATTGTCCACCAGAACAGTGCAGGTATAAATGCTTTAATCAAACTAATCAATGCATACATGTTTCAAATCTATGCTCTTTATCATGTGGACCTGTGAAGAAAGCATGTGCAAACCATGCGTCTTACCCCTTGAAATCCTGGAGTGTGACAGTATCGCCCAACAGACTCAAGAAATTCTTGAATGCGGGACTTTCTTCATTGTTCCCAAACAGCTCCCCTTCCTGGGTCTGTGAAGTCAAGCAAACCCAAGACAAACATGGCCAAGATCTTCTTTGCAGCTCAACTCTACAGGGAAAGACTAGATTGTCTTTTTCAGACTCTTGACACAATTTCACACTTGATCCATCATATAAACCAAAATTCAATTATTCCTCCGAAATCACAGTTCTCTGAATTTCACAGTCCTCCCATTTGAAAAGCCTTGAGCTGTATACACTTGGGAAAAAAGCATTCCAAATGCACTATATTAGGAAAACTTTCATCAAAAGAAAAATGAATGTGTTGGGAGAAATGTGCATAAGAAGGCTTATACATGGACGTGCAAACTTTTTTTTAGACAATTCTCTGAGTTTGGGATGAATCCAAACTGGAGAACTACTCAAAGTTCCAGATGAACCAAACTTCCTGTTGCCACTGTGTGCTGTCAAGTTATCTCCAATTTAGGGCAATCCTATAAATGAGAATCGTCCAAAATACCCAGTCCTTGGGCACCCCGATGAGCCCGCTCTTCAATCCATCTCCTATTCGGGCTTTCCTTTTGTCTTCCGCCTTCAGCTTCCCCTAACATGCTTGTCTTCTCCAGAGAGTCTTGCCTTGGCGCAATGAGTCCAAAGCAAGAGAGCCTTGGTTTTGTCTTTTTTTGCTTCTAGGGAACCAAACTTGGCGCCATCATTATTTGTTTTTTGGCGCCAGGCTAAGACCTTTTTATTTCAACGATATTTTAATAACTTTTCATATCCGTTTATAGGTTTTAATATGCAGCCAGGGTGGATCTGGATTTTATCTGAATTATGTTTTGTTTTATTTTATTTATGTAAGCCGTCCTGAGGCTATGCGATGGGATGGCATACAAATGCTCTAAACAAACAAACAAACAAACAAACTTAAATTGCAAAATAGAGAAACAGAGAAAGCAAAATGGAGAGCTTGGCCCATCTATCCATGCTCCAGGGGCTTTGCTTCCACTGCAGGCATTTCCATTTATTTATCTATTTTTATTCATTTATTTATCAATTTATATCCTGCCTTTTTCCTGCAAAGGGCTCAAGGCAGCTTACGTCATTCTCCTCCTCCATCTTATCCCCACAACAACAACCCTGTGAGGCAGGTTGGGCTGAGGGTCTGTGACTGGCCCCAAGGCACCCAGTTGGCTCCATGGCTGAGCAGGGACTAGAACCCAGATCTCCTGAGTCCCAGTCCCATGCTCTTAACCACTATACCACACTGGCTCTAAAGATTCAAGATTACTGTGAGCAGGCCTGGAAAAGACCCGGAAGTAGCGGCCTGTTGGAGGAGATGCAGCTGGCATTGGCCAGGGCCCAACTTTTTGAAGATAGCATCGTACGCCTTTGATGGTTACCAGGAGCTGCTCTGCCAGGAGACGGCCGCATGAGAAGCAGACACAGACCAGCCTCACAATTGGTAACTGCAGTTCTGACAGCCGCCCTGATTACATTTGCACATTCTGTGTTTAGTCTTTCCTGAATAACCAAACGCAGAGGCCACAATTAAGGCCTCTTTGTTATGCAACAAAACAACATGGAGGTGATTAGGCTCCCGTGTGCCAAGGAAAGCAGGGCGGGGGTGGGAAACACGGCTGTGCTTTTCTGCATGAGCTCAGCAGTTGCCACTCAACCTCACGTGGCTGATACGATTCCTTGGCACGGAGACATGGGTGGCTTGCTGTACAAGAAGAACAGTAAGAGCAGAGGAGCTGTTTTGGCATCGCAGCTAAGAGACGGTGGCTGGACTGAGCTTCCAAGCTGTTGAAAATTCAGCTCACGTTCGGGCAGGTGGAAGCACCTCTGCTCCTGGGGCATTTTGTGGGTGAGGCGTGTTGCACTGCTTTGCATGGAATTAAGCTCCCTGAAGATCTTGCAGCTCTAACTGGCTGACAGCTACAACGTGGATTTCCCCCACCATCCCACAATGGATAAAAAAATTAGCACCCAGCACCCAAACTCATGGTGGCCCCCCGTGGGGGCAAAGGAAGAGGCAAAACCTGAAAATGGTGCTGGGAAATTAAGCTTTATCAGCACGCGGTCCTAAGGAACCAATAAAATGCCCTGTTTGCTGGGGCTGTTAATCCCCAGCTTTGCTACAGCCAAGATCAAGGGTTTTCTTCTCAAAGCAACATCTCTGGAGGGGAAGCAGCTGGCATTGGCTCCCCATTCTGGGAAAGCCAATATGGCGGATATCCAGGGATTGGACCAGCATGCTCCCACAACCTCTGAAGCTCTCAAAAATTGCCTGGTTCCAGCCCTGGGAGCTGGCCAGCTGCCCCAACATGGCTGCCCTTGGAACCAGCCCTGGTGGGGAGGAGGGAAGCATTTGGCCCAACCATTTCACTTCTATATGGCCCCAAAGGGGAAGCCTTTCTAAGAGGCTGCCTGGCAAACCGGGATTTCTGGGTTCGAATCCGACCTCAGCCAAGAACTCCCTAGATGACGTGAGGTCAGCCCCTCTCCCACAACCTCCGCCCTCCTGCCCACCCCTCTCCTTACCAGAAGAATAAAGCTGACCAGTTTTGCAAGGCTGCTGAAAAAGTTAACATAAAATGATGTGGGCGATGCATTTCGAGGTTCTTGGGCTGTTGCAAATTCGCCACACCATTCATAAGTGGCAAATTTAGGGGAGCGAATGTGTTGATTTTGCAGGTGGAAAAGCTTATTTGAAAGCTGGGGGGGGGGTGGACTTACTAGGCAGCTGAGAATTCTCCACTTTGTCTTCTTGTGGGGGTTACAAAGTACAGAGTATGCCTCACTGCCATAGCACCAGCCTAAACCTAGCAACAACAACAGTTTCCGTTTATAGCCCCTCTTTTTCCCTTTTGCAAGGAATCAAGGTCCTCTATATCATCTTTCCCCTCTGCCTCCTCTTCCTTCTCACAACAACCAGGAAGGGTAGGTTGGGTTGAGCTTCATGGCCAAGTGAGAACTAGAACCCAGCCTTCCCAAGTCCCAGTCCAAGGCTCCTCCGCACCTGCTCTTCTCAGATTCAGAATGGAGGACTCTTAGTTTAGGCTTCCTCTAAATTCAGCCTCACACGTAAATGCATCAAGCATCGATTCCTAGTGTTTCCCAGCCAGCTGGGGGACCACAGGAGTTCTCTTCTAGCACGGCTCAAACAGACCAAAAAAAGCACTGTTCTAATGCAAATACTATTACATTCGTGTCTCAGCATAAAATAGCCATGGACAGAACAGCGGCACTGCCCACCTGTTTAAACTTCTGGTAAATCACGCCGAACTTGAACGTGTTATTGAGTTCATGCTCATCGTAGGACACGATCATCTGTGACGCCTGGAAATGGAGGAGGACACAAATTATGTTCTCGAAATCAGGGAACACTTTGTCCCCAAATTGAGCCATTCGAATTAATTGGAGGAGGGCAGGAAAAAGTGGGGGAAAGGCTCATCTCAGCTGTCAAGAATGCTGCTCTGAGGGTTCTAGTTTTGGTTCTTGGCATCTCCTCCTTAAAAGATCTCAGATAACCAAACTAGGAGGCACCCTGGTTGAGAGCCATTTGCGTTCAGAGTGGAGAATACCAGCCTAGGCAAACCCAACCTTTTTTTAATGTAAGACCTCAATCAATATCAGCAGAGGCATGATAGCCTCTAAATCCATCCCCCTCTATTCAGAACGCCACCCTGTAACCTTGGTCTGCCTGCCTGCCTCCATCTGATGCCTAAAATGCTGCAAGAGCAGCATTCTCAAACTTAAGGAGCCCCTGTAAATGCTGTTTCCCAGAGTTCCTGAGCCTATAGCATGATCCCGGGAGCCCTGGAAAGCCATCTTTCCCAAGGCACCCTGTGCCTGGGATACTGCTGTTGGAAAGAGGGAAGAAGCAGAGAGAAAGAGGCCTTGCTACAGCTGCTGCTGCTCCCCCCACCTCGCCCCAGATGACAAAGGGGCAACAGGAAAAGGGGTGGGAAGTTATGGCTTGCAGACACATGAATCGCAGGATCATTTTGCTCTGGAGCCAGGTTTTCCAAGGGGAGAGCTCCTGCAACTTAATAAAAGCCTCGATATGCCCTTCCTTCTCTGAGCTACCACCTTGTCTGAAAGACCCATCCTCTGGTCCTCATCTGACAGGGTGCCTGGAGAGACCAGCCGTGTTTTGCTTTCTGCTCCCTGCCCAATGGACACCCAGATTTTCCTGAAGAGGCTGGTCCTACCTGAACCGCGTCAAAGCTTTGTTCTGATTCTGCTTTTCTCATGAAAGCTGCCTCTCTCACACACCCTCCAAGAGTTTGCAAGTGCATTCCTTGGCATCTCCGTGCCATTCCCTCACAACAGAGTCCCACGGGTGCTCCTCCTGCAAACCCTTCCCTATCTGCAGAGAGCTTGTGTGATTCAGATTTTAATTCTCACTCTCTCACTCCTTCTTAAATTGAGGTCATGAACAAGCTCGATAAAACATTAAAAAACTACTCGGGTATAATTGCATAGCTTGTTCAAGGGCCCAGAAGATCAGCCTCTGTCCCACATGGTAAATTCTAAGCCGTGCATTGCCAGCTGAACTTGGAGTTAAGGAAATTACTGCTTGCCAGCCATTTGGACAGCCCTACTAATAACGGCGTTGCCAAAATCACTTTTGTGTACATGCGATTCACTGGGGGACTGTTACGGATTCATAAGAATGTTAGAAGATGCCCACTGGGTTGAACTGGAGCCTTGTCTTATCTGGCATCCGGTGGCCCCCAGTGACCAACCAATGCTCCCCATCTGCATCTGGATCGTGTTTCATCTCTATCGCTCCCTCCAACAGAGAATTCAGCCCGCAGAAATAGAACAGAAATGAGGCTGCTGAGAAACACGAGAGAGGAATCAGCTTGGAGGAATCCCAGGGTACCAAAGACTAAAAAACTGAGCTTGTTTAACAGCCCGTTCAGAATCAGAAAATTAAAATGAAAACTGGGATCAGGGTTGGCACAGTTTGCCACATCCCAGACTTATCCCAGAAGCACCATAGGAGGACACCGGAAGGTGGGAAAGGTGTTCATTTTTTATCAATCAATTGCCTTCTCCTTAGGGTGTGAAGGCACACGGACCTTCAGTGTCTCCCTTACGCTCTTCAAGAGCATGGATGGGTATTATCATGAGTGCCATGGAGTAATTTCCTCCTTACTCACAGATGTAAACTTGCACATGCAACAGTTCCCATTCAGTTTGGCTTCAAACTGGGTTGTCTGGAACATTCCTTAGCTCACCTTGGGGTAAAGGACAGGATTAAACTTCAGCCCAGTCGCATCATCACAGAAAGCCTGTCCAAAAACAGAAGAGAATCATGGTCTGGACAACAAGTACTGGAGCATTAGCAAAGGCCAGATACCAAGAAATACTGCCTTCTTTCAGAGGTTCAGCTGTGGGAGCCGCGTTTAAAAGATGCTAGGAAGGCAGCTACCCAGTGCAGGGCCTTCTCAGTCATGGCACCCCATCTTTGGAATCAGCTCCCCAGAGTTGTGTGCCAGGCGCCTTTCCTTGTACACATTTCAGTGTATGGCCAAGACTTGTTCTATTTTTGGAGCATTTAAATTGTTGACAGTTTCAATTCAAATTTTTAATTCTAATTTTAAGTTGGTATTTTAATTTATGAATTTTGAAATTACAATTGCTATCTGAAATATAGAATGTAACCAATCTGGCCACTGTAGGAGGTGTCGGTGTCCCTGAAGAGGGAATTGATGGCTTCATTTATTGAACAGTGGTTATAGATGTTTATGTTTTATTGTATTTTAATTGTTGTAAACCATCCAGAAAGCTACGTGGCTATTGTGACAGTCTATAAAAGCATGAAATAAATAAAATAAAGAATAAATTTCACATCGCTCATGGTTGCAAAGCATCCTGCCTGGAAGAAGGATGTTGTATTGCTTTGGAAATACATGAATCGATTGGCCAAGGTGCGTCCCAAGGCACCCCGGGTGGAAATAGCTCAAGGAGGGGGCCAATCTCACAGCTAAGCTCCTAACCTGCACCCACAGCCAGATGAAGCCGGTTGAAAAGAGGGCTGTGATCCTTCCACTGGTGTCTCGTGCCATCGCGTTGCCTCCCATCGATGGCAATCCTATGGATGAACGTCCTTCAACCCTCCCCCCCCCCACCGCAAGAGGCCTGCTGGGCAAACCCTCCTCAGCTTCACTGGGAGGTGGGTCCCATTTTGGGGGTTTCCCTGGAAATGGCGCAGGAGAAAATGGGGGAAGCGCCCACCCCTTCCCTGCTAGCCCACCTCTCCTCCCCCAGCACCAAAGGTAAGCTGGAGAAGGGGGAACTGGTGGACTGCTGGCACGGAGACTTCCTAGGTTCAGTTTGGGAGCTGGGGGAATGAAACCCCCATGCTTCCCAGCCAGGGACCGTGCTTTATCTCTTTCGAACCCAGAGGGAGAGGGCGAGCAAAAGGGCATTCAGAAAGGGAGCCCCACTGAGGGGTACTTTATCCAAGCCCCCCCTGCCCCCAAAACACAGAGCTGGTCCAGAACTGAGCATCTATTCCTAAAATCCCCACCTCAACTTTCACCTATACACAGGTGGTCTCAGGTAAGTTGTGCCTTCACAGCCTCTGCTCCCCTCAGGTGAAGGCACTGGCCTACCTACACCAGGTCACAGGAAGGATTGCTGAGACATAGAAACATAGACACAGAGCGGGTCAGAAGGGGTCTCCCGGGCCATCTAGTCTGACCCCCGGCTCCAGCCGGATCCGCTCACAACATGCCCACCATGTGCATGTCCAGTCTATCTTTGAACACCCTCCCTGATGGGGTCTCAGACACCTCCCGTGGAAGCCCATTCCATATCCTCAGAGTCCTAACCGTCAGGATGTTCTTCCTGGCACCTAAATTGAGCCTTGGACAAAACGATGGACCCTCTCACAGTGGAATTCTTGTATTACTGCTGTGCTTCTTCAAAGCCACTTACCTTTGCTATCTGCGGAATACTTGGCAGCTTGCTCAGTCCGGCTAAGGGGATTCTTTCATGTAACGTTTTTGTTTTGGATCTACAAAAGGCAAAAGCAGAGAAGGGAAGGAAGTAAGGGACTTTGGCATGAAAAGAGGTGATGTCATCTCTGGATAACACGCATAAAATCATGAGTTGTGCTGCGGGAACTGCAACCGGAGTATTTCCCGGATGTTGGGAGAAGATATTTGGCAGAACATGTGGAGTGAGGCTCAGCAAGTCCTGCTCCGACTCGTCCACTTTCTGCTCTTGCCCACTTTTAAAAAAATCCAGGACTTGCCAGAGAGTAAGTCAGGCTCAGCTATTGGTTTCATCGGTGCAGAGAAGGGACGGGGTGAAATATGATATTTTCTGATCGCCTCGCAGAGGATTTTTAAAAAACATCTGGTTTCCTTTGGCTTGGCTGTACATCAAACAACTTGCATTCCTTTCCAAAGCAATCTTGAAAGGCCAGACTTGAAATCCATCCCCGCCCCACACCCATCCGTCACGAAATACTTGTTATCACCACTTCCTGCCTCTCATACAGAAGAGATTTCAAGCCTCCCTAGGACTCCATCGCATCGCAAAAGGTCTGCACAGATCACCCGATCAGGCCTGAGCACCTGCAAGGTGCCGCTACTTCCTCCAGGAATTTTGGACAAGGTTGTGTAGCCACTAGTCAACATTTGACTTTTGAACCATATGCAGGGCTCGCATCAGGCTGGCAATAGTTGAGAAACCACAGAAGGTTCTTAGCTAAAATTGGCTTTATAATGAGCCAGGCTGCTAATTCATCTTGCTTCTGGGTGAAGCCTAATATTCGGAATCTTTTTAGACCACTCTACAGCCAAAAAGACTCCTGGACCACTGGCATGAGATTGGGATAGCCTCTGTCCATGTGCTTACAATTGAAAAAGACGTGATACCCAAGGGCAAAAGACTGCGGAGGGCAGAGGAATAAAAGATGTCTTTCATCAGGGCTTCAAGAAGGATCCCTCTTCCCCCTCTTATCTCCCTCCCTCTAGCATGAGGTTGAGGTTCAGTGTGTCTTTTCCAGCTGCAGCTTTTCCAGCTGCTTGGGATTCTCTTTAAGTGGGCACAACATCTGTGCACAGATGTTCATATGGCAGACAGTTCTCTCATGCCCTCCTCCTACTAGGTTCCCGAGGCAATCAGCCCCAGGACGGAGACTGGGAGGGCAGAAGACAGAATGTGGCGAGAGCTTTAAATGGCCCTCTTTGTATACCTGAAGGACTGGGCCAAGGGAGATGCCAGAGATTCCTTCTCTGAAGCCCTGCAGGGCAGGGATGACTGGAGCAGCAAAATTCAAGCTGAGCACCATTCTTTACTTCCACCCAAAACTTTTTCTGACTCATGCCCGTACCAGATCCCTGTCCTTTAGCACAGAAATCTGCACCTATGGCTATGCATATTTTCCCAAATGGAGGCATCGCTCACACGCTCCTTGGACCAGCATTGTCCGAAGGCTGGATGCAGCTCTCTCCCAGTTACGAGCAGCATGTTGGACCGTGCAAGTGCCTGCAGGAAGGCTGCAGAAAATGCTTCCATGCTCAGCAAACCTGGTCTTTGTCACGGCTGCCTTGCGTTCCTGGCTTGCTCTGACCTTATCTTGCCTTGCCCTGCCCTGCCCCCTTCTTCTGCTCTGACCTGCCTCTCCGAATGCCTGAACTTTGCCTTTGGTTCTGCCATGCCATGACCGCCTCCAATTTCATATGCATCCTTACTTCAGTTACAGGAGAAGAAGAGTCGGAGGGAAGGTTTCGATGCAACAATGGAACGGATCACCTAAGGAGGTGGTGGGCTCCCCATCACTGGTGGTCTTCAGAGAGGCAGGGGTCTGAACTCAAAGCCCTTCCAGCCCCGCTCCAACTTTAGCCTCCCACACCTGAAAAGCTGCAAAAGCACCTCTCCATATGTCTGTTAGGCACACACACCTCACAAGCCTTGCCCCTCCCCTTTTGCAGACTGTACCTGAGTATAATCCTCAGGTATTCGGTCGCTTCTCCCTCTTCGCATTTGATGGAGAGGATCAAATTTCCCAGGCTGCTGGCCGTGCAGTAAAAATTCAGATGATCCTAAATAGAGAGGGGGTGTCAATGGCATGAGGAAAGAGGACTCTGCACCTACCCAGCTCCCCTGATTGCCACCTGGGCACTGGGTCGCAACACGCAGCAAGAATCATGGGTGACTCATCGCTATATTAAGACTGTCTCACACACATACCATCCGTTGGGAAACGAGAAGCGCTCGTTTACACTCACCTGGAAGTTCCAGGCTTTGATTTGGACCGCCTGAAGCTAAAAAGGTGCGGCAGCCACTTTGACCACCGGTGAGGAGCTGCCAGTGCTAATTTCGCAGGGCCAGGACAAATGCCAAGAAATCACCCCATCGTTATCCTTTGACATGGTCCAGCTACCGGCCAAATTGGTCCCTGTTGCACCCTCCAATGTTGCATTTCTATACCGCTCTCAGGGCAATGCACAATTTAAAACATCAATACAACAAGAGCGATCCAACAACAAAATGGAACTGTAAGAACCACTAGAAAACTCTACAAACCCTACCATAAATTACTGCAGCACTCCTAAATCAACACCAGACACATCAGCGATGATAAGACAAGTCTACACAAATTAATGGGTCTGATTGTTTTAAGGGTCTGGAAAATAAAAAGGGCTTTGCTGGGTGCCTGAATAGAAGGTCCCAGGGGACCTCTCTGTGGAGCATGTTAAACAGAGGGGGTGCAATCCCCAAGAAGGCCCCTCCCCTGTTTGCCACCCCCCATACTTCCTTAGCAGGCTGTTCTCTAAGAATATATGGGAGTTTACGTTATTATCAGGAGAACCACAATAAGATCTGCTTCCTTTCCCAGCCTCTTTCTAGGGACCAGAAGATGGGGCTTCTTTTGCCCATCGGAACCACACAACTGCAGGCCAGAACCTGAGCATCAATCTTGGGAACAAACGCATAGCCCATGGTGACGGTGACAGCCATACTGCATTTCTCTCCCACCTTCTCTCCTCTTGAGGGACACCCAAAGCAGCTTCCACAACCCTCCCCTGCTCCATGTTATTCTCACCACAACCCTGTGAAGTAGGGTGGGCTAAAAGGAAGTCTCTGGCCCTTTGGGGGGCTTTGTAGCTAGAAGGGGGGGTGGCAGAAGCCAGATCTTCCAAGTCTTGAGTCCAGCACCATTGTCACCAAGCCACACTGGCCCTCAAACTCATCCATCCCCGATATTTGTCAGGACAAGAATGTTGGGGTGCGGATGTTGGATTTTCCAAGGAGGGGAAGCAGGACCTCAGCAGGCTCTGGCCCATCCAGGAACCCCAAGCAGCCCTACACCTGGAACCGGGCAGCTGTAGGACCAAGGATCTCCACCTGATGCCTAGGTTCTTGGCTGGCTCGTGACGCTTTCCTGATTCACACGCTCACAGAGGGGGAGGAAGAGGCAAAGCAGATTAGAGACTCCAGACTGTGTTCCAAGCAGGTAACCAGCCACATGTCTGCAGGAGGGAGAGATGCAAGCCAAGCCCTGCCCAAATCAAGGCCCGGCTCACTCCCAGCAGAGCAAAGCCCCCGTTGAAGCTGACGCTCCAACCTCCGGTGCAACACCTTCCTGAGCCAGAGCAACCAGCAGGGCGGCTGCAACGCGTATCCCTCCCTTGCATGCATTTCTAAGCATTCCACCCCGTCGGCACACAAGTCAACGTGTCTCTCGTGCCCAACTGACCTTTCCCAAGAAGTGCTTCCGGTATGCCCGGGCCTCGCCTTTGCATTCCAGCCGGTAGCCATGGGAGCTGGGGCTCAGCTGTTCCTCGTCGTCCTCACAGATGCTGCTGTCCGACGAGGTGGGGGTGCTGAGATTCTCAGGGTCTTCAATCCAGTAGCCCCCGAACTGGGGCAAAATGATCAAGGGATAGGGGCTGCCTTTCTCTAGGACCTGGCAGAGGGGAAAGAGGGCAAGTGACTCTCCCAGGGCTTACTGGACACCGTTTTGGGGCACCCTGAAGTTTCCTGTGTGTTCACTCTCAGACACAGACACACAATTTTTGGTGCCCAAGAGTTGGAAAACATCCCAAAGAAGCCCTAACTCCAGATTTTTTTTTCACCCCCTAACTGCTTCGGGGATGAGAGGTAAAAATGGGGCTAAGCTGGTCAGAAGGCCCCCTAAGCAATTTGTACTTTGTGGTCACCCGTTCCTCAGCCTTGATTTAGGCGGCTGGACACTCAGAGAAAAGCAAATTTGCATGCAAATTTGGAGAACACTTATTTATTTGATTTATAAACTGCACCAACAGTCCTATGTAGGAGTTATAGGACTATATACTAGAGGACTGTATACTATGTAGGTCCAATAGTCCTACAGTATGTAGGAGTTAAAGGGACATACACTGTCGTCCTATACTATAGTCTGATGATATACACTGGATCATGCCCGTTGATCATATTTTAGTCCCCCTCATTGCCTTTTTCTTTTCTTCCGTACATACCTCTTCAATGCTGGGATAGGGGATATAATCCTCCTGAAAGAGATCCAAAAGAAGGAAAACATCTGAGCAGGGTTCAAATTTATCTCTCGTTTCCTGAAATGTTTCTTCTCCCCTTGCTCTGCCTCCACCTTTGGCATTTTTTCCGGGAGAGTTTTTGAGGTTACCTTAGTGTTGTGAGGTGGCCGTGGGAAGGTGCGGTGTACTTTTGTCTCCTGCACACACACACACACACACACAATTGCCCGCACTTCCTGGTCCGACAGACCCCAATGGGGGTACCTACTTCATTGTGTCTTCCCCTGGACTTTCACTGAACTGGAAAAAAGCTGGCAAGCTACAGCCAAACTGGAAAGGTGATTGTACAAGGAAACACACAGCTTTGAACACCTTGGAACCCAGGTGAGTGTGACAACATCACACAACATGCACTGAGTTTCACCAAAACATTCTCCCTTGTCACTTTTTTCCACAAGCAATTTCTTCTCGATGCCATTGCAAAAGTTTGCTCGAAAAGCACACAGAAGAAACTTTGGCACTGCAGTGGGTTCCAACCATTTCTCCCCAAATGCCATTTAGGAAGTGAAAAGCTGTCTTATTTCAGGGGGCAGAGAACATAAGCCACACGGAAAGAGTTTGAAGATTAGAGAACAAAGGAATACACATTTTTGCTCCGCTCCTAGTACTTCTAACTGTCGAGTGCAATAGATAAGTGGTGGATCTACATTTATCAGGATTATATCTGAAGAACCGAGCTTTTCAGGATGAAAACCTCAGGGGGCATAATGAAAGATGAGGGAAAATGGACTCTTGACACAAAACTGGATTTGAAGGCACTCTCCTCATTTATTCCTGCATGTTTAATCAGAGCCGCAATTTTCAGACTGAGCTGATTCTCCTTCTTTGACCTTCTTGGTATTGTTTGGATGTCTGCATCACTGTTCAATGGGCGGCTAATGGATGCTTGAGGACTTCAGAAAGGTACCCTGATATTCCGTGATGATGGGAAATCTCTCTCCCCTGCCTTTGGAATGTAATCCTCTTCAGCTAATAGAAGGGTGTAGGAGAGAAATAGTTTGCAAGCAGAAACTGGAAAAAGCCAGGATATGTGACAGAAGGTGATTATGTGATTTGGTTTTTTAAAATATGTGGAGAAAGGGGATAGGTTTTTTTCCTCTCCCTTCTAGTTGTTAGTCGCGAAGTCGTGTCCGACCCAACGCGACCCCATGGACAACACTCCTCCAGGCCTTCCTGTCCTCCACCATCCCCCGGAGTCCACTTAAGCTCACATCAACTGCTTCAGGGACTCCATCCAGCCACCTCATCCTCTGCCGTCCCCTCCTTCTTTTGCCCTCAATTGTTCCCAGCATCAGGGTCTTCTCCAGGGAGTCCTTCCTTCTCATTAGGTGGCCAAAGTATTTGAGTTTCATCCTCAGTATCTGGCCTTCCAAAGAGCAGTCAGGGCTGATCTCCTCTAGGACTGACCAGTTTGATTGCCTTGCAGTCAAGGGACTCGCAGAGTCTCCTCCAGCACCACAATTCAAAGCCCTCAATCCTTCGGCGCTCAGCCTTCCTTACGGTCCATTCCTCTCCCTTACTGCTGATATTTAGAAAGCATTAACACCAAACATTGCGAAAGTTTGCAGTCCATTTTCTCCTGAAACGTAAATCATAAAACCGTGCTGGGGCAGACCAAGACACATCTAATGGAGTGTTCGGTGTTCCCATCAGGGGTGGTGTCCCGGGTAGACATGCTGGGCCCTTGCCTGGGGACCACAAGATGGCAGGGGCCAACAGAAAACACCCTTTATGGCTGTTCCTCTTCTCTCATACAGTCAGCCTGTTCCCCAGCCTTTCATAATGCTGGTGGTAAAAGGTTCTTTCTGCCTACACATGCCCCATCTCTGCCTGTCAAGCCAGCAAGTGGTAGCCATGAAAAGGAAGAGGAAGAGGAGGAGGAAGAGCAGCTGGTGACCACAGAGGTATGATGCAGATAAGAGTTTTGTTCTGAAACTCACCTTATTTTTCTGACTTCCACTTCTTTGGTCCTCTGATTTGGGTGCCTGTTTGGGGAGAAATGGTATGAGATACGTTATTTTGGAACAAACAGAGATGAGGAAGATCAAGTAATATTTGTTAACCATCAAGAGAGCCTTGGATGTTAGACCAAATAGAAATGAAATGAATAAAATTAAGTATGCTAGATTCATCAGAAGAAAAGGTGAGCTATTAATTTAACGAACGAATGGACAAATTGCACAAACACATTTAATAAATACTTCATTGCAGAGAACCTGAGTGTACTTTGCTAGTTAAACAGAAAGGTTTGGTCTTGGAATTTCTTCTAGAAATTAAGGCTGGGCAAAATACCCTCCCATCAATTTCACAGTTCTATTCACCACTCACCTTTTCTCTTGGGGATATAGCGCTCTGGAGAAACTAAAACAAGAAGCATCACCCATAGTGGTCTCTGGTCAAAATCCCAACAATTGTACATACTCCACAGCATTCTTACTGGAAGTTCACCATTTAAAAGATGCTTACACTGTCCCTTACACTCAAGGCAGAGGATAGCAAAACCCCAACCATGAAACATAACCCAACAGCAGGAATAACAACAGAAACAACTAACAGAAGAGGTAAAAGCAGATTCTACCATGTACACAGTCGTCCCAGTAGAGTCCTAACCCAGTTTCAGGACAAGGTAAAGAGAGGAGTCCAGAGGACTAGAAGACCTGTGATGAAGGAGCTAGATGGCTATCAATGGGAAGATCATTCCGCAAACTGCAGAAAATGGGGGCCATGTTCAAGAAGGCCCCGTCCCTCATGCCGGAGAGTCTAATTTCTTTTACCGGTGGACACGTGAGTGCTGATCCTGAAATGCAGGCAGGTTGGTGTAGCTTCTCGGTGAATTTAATGACAAGAAACAGCTGCCCCAGTTCTTCTGTTTCCTTTTCTTTCACCAAGGATGCCCCAAGGAATGATTCCTGTCATCCCTGTTAACCTATTCACAGTGACTTAGTGCACATCCCAATGCTTTCTTTGCGTTTCCTTTTCAAGCACAAAACCTTTGCTTTTTAAATGCAGCACAAATAATGGAAGAGAGGGGAAGGGAAGAGCTTGCAACTTGGAGGGGTTTGCCGTGCTCGTATTTTTGAAAATGGCAGGAACTCCTCCCCCACATTTATCTCCATCTCTGAAGCGTTTCTGTTCCCCCATCCCACCCCAATCCCAGAGAAAATCTGCAGTAAATCATTTTCATTCATGCGGCGATCTTCCCAAAGAAGAGCAGGTCATGAAAAGGGAGCTGTTGCAACTGATACTACATCTCTTACCTGCATTTTTTCCAGCATTTCGAAGAACTCAGCAGACTGAAGGGAGACAAAAAAATCAAAACAGAACATTAAAGTCCATACTGCATCCATGGCAAAGACATCGCGGATAAAACTCATATTTTCTATTTCAAGTGTGAATGTGAGATGAGTGGAAGGCATACACGAAACTCAAGCAACCATTTCAGATCATTTCTGTGTGAAGGTGGCCATGTGTCCTGTGAGTCTTTCATTTGAAGGGTTGTCCACTTTGAGTCTGTTTTTCCAAAAGGGAAGAAGCGAGATGCGGGAACACCATGGCTCCAAGTTGCCCATCCACCGTCGAAGCCCGGATAGTGTGTGGTCAGGAAGTTACACAGAGAACCTGGGGGTCAGGTCTATATTATAACCCCTTCTGTTTTTCCAGAGCGCTGTCCTGCTATTTATGCAAAAATCATTTACCACTCTCAGGGTACGTCCTAGAGAACACGCTGCCGTTCCACCAGGCTGGAAACGCGATCTCATGTCACACGCAAAAGCAATTGCAAAAGTAGGTAAGAAGGGTGACGTGAGAAGGGAAAGATCCCTTTTGGGTTTGCTGGTTGGTGCTTTTTCGTCCTTTCTACACCACACCAAGCAGGCAAAGTTCTCTGGGTGGTTCACAGCCTGGGCCAGGGAAAGATGACTGAGGTGTTCCTGTTGAATTAAGGCAAACAAGATAACCAAACTTCTTTCTTGCCAAACAAGATTGGACTGTGGGAGCCAGAGACCGGGGCCTGAATTTGGCCTGCAGGCCCAACACAACCTTGCTAAGCTTCTGGCTATGTGTGTCACTGGCTACCCTTAAGGAAGGACAGTTCCAACCATCCCCAGGGAAGCTTCCAAAGTTAGGAAGGCAACTTCTTGTTCCATGTTTGGCAGCAGATTTATCGAGAGAAGCCCGATTAAGCGCAACAAACCAGGAGCTTCCAGCATGATGAGAACTTCACTCACAGCCTTCATTGGCATTAGATTGGGTTTCTGAAGAGATGCCACTCTGAGCCAATCAAGAAGCCATCTGCCGAAGCTGGTGCTGCCCAGATCACTTGGAATACAACTCCCATCCTCCTGAGGCAGCATGATCTGCGAGTTGCATCCAAAACATCTGGACAGCAGCAGGTTGTGAGAAGCTGCAGTAGGGAATGGAAGTGCCATTCAGGTTAGTTTTCCATGTTCCTGACATCACCCACAGTTTGTGAATTTAGGAACCCGGCTGCAGAGATGGGAAAGAGGCCGTTCAGAGCTCTGAAAAAGTCTGGATGGGCTGAGAAGTAAAGCCTGAAAGCCCTGATCTTGGGTCTGATGATCAAAGGCGACATCAGAGCCCTCTTGCTGGAAAATTTCTCTGGAGCCAAGGCAGTTGCTGTCCATAAGGGGAATTAGTGGCGTGGTTCCAGAGATCCAGCCCAACCAAACTAAATTATGCTAGCATCACTTTTCCAATCATTTACAAGGCCGGCTGCTTCGTCTAATAACAGCAGGGTAATTCAATTGCGGGTTTATTTTCTCAGGAAGTCGAGCTTCCCCCTTGGAAAAAAAACAAAGCTCCCAGCTGCCCCGAGAGTCTTGTCAAACACTGCGACACTCTGAATAACAACCAGGGCTTTCTTCCCAAGCCGGAGGGACACGCTCCTACAAGGTAAGCACTCTGTCCTCTTCTCCACCCTTCCTGCCCTCTTTGGATCGAGCCTTTGTTTGCTCAGAGGTAAACTCCTTGTTTACACAAGGCAGGGGAGACATAAATGGCCCCCATCACTTCCTTTATCCTCCACCCCACCAGTTTGCTCAGCCCTGCGCCGAGTGCAACCTAAATTCCATTTTAACAAGGAAGCATTTGCAGATTAATTATGGGATTGCAGCTTGCACAATTAGGTAACATTTTATTGCTGGAAGGCACCTGGAGGATCAGCTGGTCCAAGCCTTTCCCAAATGGACACCTGTCCAGCAACACCTCCAGTGGAGGATGGCTCCATTGCTTGCTAAAACAGTTTCTGCCATTGCCAAACGGCTTTCATTGGCAGGAGCTTCGCCTAATATTTAGTCAAACTCCGTGCTAGCAGAAAAGGGATACGCATTCACACGGCTGCACTGAAGCGAGGACTCCGAATCAATCCCCAGCAGCTGCCAAAATCCCGGGTTTCAGTCTGCTTCTTTGTGATGTCCACCTGTTTCTACGTTTAACGAGACCCCCATCTGCATCCGCAGGCCTGAACAGGGAGAGGCAGTGTGGTGCAGTGGTTAGGGTGTTGGGCTGGAGACCTGGGAGATCAGACCTCGAGTCCCCACTTGGCTATGGAGCTTCCTGGGTGACTTTGGGCCAGTTGCTCACTCCCAGCCTCGCCTACCTCACAGGGCTGTTGTTAGGAGGATAAAATGGAGTTTTGGAAGCTGCCTTCAGTTGCTTACAAAAGGAAAAACACAATACAGTAATAAGAACCATAATAAAAATAGTAATCATCATGTTTTGTCATTGCAACACAGAATTGGCTTGAGACAGAGAAATGCCTGGAACACTCTTCCATGTCCAACCACTGCCAATGTGTTCCATGTTGCACAGCAGGACAGAGCCAACCACCAACCAAAACACGTGGCCCGTGAACATGTGCTCCCAAATCAACTGCACATCCCCTGAACTCCACTTAAGGCAAAAAGGCGTCACACCGGTAAACCGTCCCTGCTCCGAATTTTGGCGCAGCCCAGCTGAATAGAACCCTTCATGCTGGTAGCGTGACATCAGTACAATACTTGCAGAAATACAGAATATATCAGATCCACGCTCTGCACACTGCGGGTTCACCTCCTCCTCTTGGCTGCCGGTTCCACCGAAAAGCCAAGTCCTTCCCATATGCTCTTACGGAGCTGCTAAGCTACAATTTTTGTCCGAGTTGCACCTTCCGTTATTGCAAGCTTCTACAGTGAAACACTGTAGATAAGAAAGATGCAGTGTCTTCAGTGAGACCCTTAGTCCACCCGGGTCTTTGGACGCTCAGACACGGATTTTCTTTCCCAGCCCTCCTGGAGTTGCCAGGACTTGAATCCAGGACGCTCTTGCACACAAAGTGCTGTTCCAGCCACTGGGCTATGGTCCCAAGACACATGCCACAGAGTTGTCACTCTGTTGATGACAACAACATCGCGGTCTCTGTGGATTCATATTGCTCCCCCATTCAGAGCACATTCCTAAACATGCACTTAGTTCAGTCTCCAGGGCCTTTTTTTTTATTAAATGAAACCTTAAAAAACAAGAAAGCGTAATGAAATTACACTTTTAAAAGACACCTTTGAAACCACATGCTGACAACTGAATAGCTAAAACCAGTCCGTTCTGCTAGACCTGCAGAAAAACTCAGGAGAAGCAATACCTCCTCCTGCCATGCCCACATGCTAGCTTAACTTGGCACTGAAAAGATAGCCATGCTGGCACCATGTGGGTCTTGATAGGAGATCATTTTGCAATGTGGGAGCCAACACAGTGAAGGCCCTGCTCCTGTTGCCAGCGGCCGAGCCTCCCTTGGAGGTGGCATCTGAAAGATGGCCCCTGATACGGAGAGTGATGCTCAGGTACAGCGGATTGGAAGAGGCAATCAGCAGGTGCTGTGGTCCCAGGCTGTGAAGGGCTTTATAGGGTAAGACAAAGCCCCTAGGCTTACCGCTGGATCCTGCAGGGCAGGAAGATGGATTGGGCTTCCTCTGCCTTGCTTGCACATGCTTTTCCTTCATCCTCAGTTACTGTCTTGACTCCCAGCTCACACCTGGTCCCTTCCTCCTGGTTGTCCTCTGATTCTTCCGTCCTGATTCCTGGCCTTGGGCTCCATCCCAAGTTCCGAGCACGTTCTCCAGCAAGTTTTCCCCCTCAACTGATGACGGGCCAGTCCCATGGGCCTCGTTCCTCCCCTCCGGGCTCCCCTGTGTGGCTTCTCACAGCCCACAGAGCAGAGCAAACGCCCAGGGGGTGGAAGGGGGAGCCGTGTGCCCCCATACCTGGACAGCTGGAGGCCCACATGGTCACCGTTCCTGCCAATAACCTTATCAGAGAAAGTTCGACTGGGTGACATGATGAGAAGAAAACCAGGTGTGTGCTCGGAAGTTCAGTTCACTGAATCCCAGAAGCCTGAGTTTCTAGTTTGGTGAGAGTCCTGCATTTTCACCCTCCGGCCGACTCCTGTGAGGCTGGACCCACTGGTAGTCCAGACTTCTGCCCGTTTCACCCCATTTTGTCCGCTCGGACTGGGTGCAGCACTCCAGGGTCGTGGGCAGGGAAAGCCCAGCACCAGTGGATGGAGACATCTTGGAGCGCCTGATGATTGTTTCCAGGATGCCATCCCTGCCTTTCCACCCCAGGAAGAAGTGGCACAACCTCCCAAGGGCGCATGTCCCCCGCCTGGCGCCAGAGGGTCCCTCATGCCTCCTCTCCACAGCAGTGACAGTGCTGGACTAGGTCGGTGGAGACCCATGTTCTAGCCAACCTCAGGCCAGGCACAGACTGTCAAGCCCATCGAACAGGGTTGTTGTTGTTGTGAGGATAAAATAGAGAGGAGAATTTTGCAAACTGCTTCGTGTTCCTTGCAAGAGGAGGAATGGAAGAGTCTTCCAAGGGCAAAAGCACACAAGCTCCAACGCACCCGTTACTGGGGGTGTTATCGACACAACAACGTATCACAAAAGCTGTCATGGGGGGAAATCTCATTTACGACTCCCAAACCTGGTCTGCATGCTCTTCCCATGGCACACAAAGAATTCCGAAGGCTTCCGGGAGCGAGGAAGAACATCTGTGAAGGAAAGACACTGCCTGGCTTGCTTCAGAAACACCGTCCCCCAAATGCCACCAGACATTTCACCCCAACCAGAATCGGCCCAAGCGTTCAACATGCACACACGTTGGCTGCAAGCTTGCTTTCACACATGACGTTGTCGTGCAGACTGCACTTCAGGACATACAAGTGGAGCATGCGGTTGTCGAACTCCAACTGCCAGCAGTCTGGCTATTGCCATGCTGGCTGGGGAAGCTGGAGGTTGGAGTC